GCCGTCCGCCGCGACACGGCCTCCGCGGCCTCGCGCGCGGCGGCGGCCGCCGCCGTCTCCTGGCGCCTCGACCGGTGCTCGGACACGCGCCGCGCGGCGCGCCGCGACGCCTCGTCGGCGTCGACGCTCCGCCGCCGCTCGTCGCGCCGCGCGGCCGCGACGGCCGCGTCCTCGGCCGCCTTGCTCGCGGCGAGCGCGTCCACGCGCCGCGGCGGCGGCGGCGGCGGCGGCGACGCGGGCGCCGCGAGGCGCTCCGCCTCGGCGCGCGCCGCGGAGGACAGCGTCGGGCTGCCCGAGAAGCCGCGCACGGCCGCGGCCTGGGGGCTCTTGGGGCTCCCGGCCGGCGGCGCCGGCGGCGTCCCGAAGCTCGCGCGCGACGCGCCGTTTCGTTTCGGCGTGAGCGTCACCACGGGGGGGCGCCGCGGCGACGCCATGCTTTGCGCTGCTCCTCCTCGAGCTTTCGTTGGACCGCTGCGCCGACCCGACCGAGATCTGTGGAGGAACAGCCGGGCTGCCCTTCCTGAAACCTGTTCAACCAGCAGCTCCGGAGCGAGGTGAGGTCGACGGCGATGTGGAGCTGCCGTGATGCCTTGATCTTTGCCCTCGCGTCGTCAGCAGCGATCTGCCGCCGAGCCCGTGTGCTCCCGGCAATGGCCAAGCTCGCGCTCCTCGTCGCCCTGGTCGCGCCGGCGACGGTGGCCTTCTGCCCGTCCTTCGTGAACCGGCCGTCCGTGGCGCTGCGGGCCGCGGCGCCGAGCGACGTCGACGACGGCCTCATCTACGAGCTCGCGGAGTGCGCGGCCTTCGACCTGCCGGCGAAGGTGCGCCAGCCGGGCGTGCTCCGCGCCGTCGGGAGGCCGCAGTTTTTCCTGCGCATCGCCGAGATCTGCGACGACTGCCCGGAGGGCGACCGGGAGAAGCTCGCGGCCTTGGCGGACAACCTCGCGTCGACGCTCGCGGTCATCGTCGAGTCCGCGGAGGAGAAGCTCGACGACGCGTCGGACGTGCTCCAGACTATCGTCGTCGCCGCCGCCGAGGACGACGGCGAGTTCCTCGTGCCGCTCTCGGCCGAGCGCTTCGCGGCGCTCCAGGAAGCCGTCGACGCGCGCGTCGACGACGGCTCGCTCGGCGAGTCCGTGCTGTCCACCGTCGACGCCTGGGCGAAGAAGGCCGACGACGACGGTTTGGACGGCATGGTCGCCATCCTCCGCAAGGTGCTGCAGCTCTACGCCGCGCGCGCGCTCCGGTTCGACGCGAAGCTCGCGGCCGAACAGCTCGCGCAGATGATGCCGCCCGACGCCGCGGACAAGGTCGACCTCTCCGGCGACGCGCCGGCCCTCCACCCGGACTACGAGGCCGCCGCCGAGCTCTACGGCGCCGTGCTCCGGGAAGACGCGGACGCCTGGGCGCCGACGCTGAACGCCGCGCTCAACGGCGACGGCGCCGTCAAGAAGCGCAACGTCCTCGCCATCGTCCAGGCGCAGATCGAGCGCGTCGTCCTCCTCCAGGAGAACGGCTCCTTCTCCCAGCGCGTCCAGGCCGAGTTCCTCCGCGAGCTCGTCCAGCAGGTCGAGCGCGAGGCGCCCAAGTCGCCCGACGACGACCTCGACATGCTCGAGCTCGTCCAGGGCATGGACCTCGGCTCCGACTAGGCGCGCCCTTAAAGGCGGGGACGCGACACGCGGGGACGCGCGCGCGCCGGCGGGGCTCGCGAGGCGCGGCGGGAGGGCCGTGAAATTTACGGGGACTCCTCGGACTCGGAGGGCGCGGCCCGGGCCCGGCCCGGGAGCGCGCGCTCGCGAGGCGCGGGAGGGCCATCATGAGATTTACGGGGGGGGCTCATAAGGGGGAGATGATTTTCGGGGGGGGACATAAGGGGAGATGATTTTCGGGGCGCCTTGGGCCCTGCGGGCCCGGCGCGGTCGCCGCGGTCCGCCTCGAAGTGGACCGCGGGAGGGGGGGCTAGGCGGACGTGCGGGTCTCGAAGAGGAGCGACGTCGCGGTTTGGGCTCTAGGCGGACGTGCAGGTCGCGAAGATGAGCGACGTCGCGACGTAGGGATCCACGTTGGACGCGGGGCGGCGGTCCTCGAGGTAGCCCTTCTTGTCGGCCGCGGTGTCGCGGGGGATGCGGATGGAGCAGCCGCGGTCGGCGACGCCGTAGGAGAACTGGTCGATGGAGGCCGTCTCGCAGTCGCCCGTGAGGCGGCGCTCGTTGCCCTCGCCGTACGCGGCGATGTGCTCCGTGTGCTTCGCGCCGAGCTTCTCGCACATGGCCTCGATGACCGCGAGGCCGCCCTCCTTGCGCGTGGACTCGGTGGAGAAGTTGATGTGCATGCCCGCGCCGTTCCAGTCGCCGGCGATGGGCTTGGGGTCGATGGTGACGATGACGCCGAGGTCCTCGCAGACGCGGCTGAGGATGTAGCGCGAGATCGTGAGCTGGTCCGCGGCGTCGATGCCGATGGAGGGGCCGATCTGGTACTCCCACTGGCCGGGCATGACCTCGGCGTTCGTGCCCGAGACCTCGAGGCCCGCGTAGAGGCACGCGCGGTAGTGCGCCTCGGACACGGCGCGGCCGAACGCGCGGTCCGCGCCCGCGCCGCAGTAGTAGGGGCCCTGGGGCTTGGGGAAGCCGCCGACGGGCCAGCCCAGGGGCGTGACGCCGTCGAGGTTGAAGAGCGTGTACTCCTGCTCGAGGCCGTACCAGGGCACCTGCTCCTTCGCGCCGCCCGACTCGAAGCGGGCGACGGCGGGCGCGCGCGTGTTCGTCGGTAGAGGCGTCCCGTCGGGCTCGTAGGTGTCGCAGAGCACGAGGACGTGGTTCCCGCCGCGGAAGGGGTCGGGGTACTTGGCGCGGGGCACGATCATGACCTCGGAGTCGTCGCCGGGCGCCTGTCCCGTCGACGAGCCGTCGTAGTTCCACTTGGGGTACGCGTCCACGGGGCCCTGGACCTTCTTGAGGGGCAGCGTGCGGCACTTGGACCGCGCGACCTGGTCCTTGTCGAGGAAGACGTACTCGACCTGGCAGTCGTCGCCCGTGTCGAGGCCCATGTACTTGCCGAGCACGGCCTGGTCCATGGACGCCATGCCCGTGACCTGGCTCAGGGGCTCGGCGCCCATGCGGAGCGTCGGCCGCGCGTGGCGGCGGCTCGCCGCGAGGGAGGCGGCGGAGCCGCAGAGCGCGAGGGCAACAAGGATTTCACGGGCCATCTTGCGAGGGTTTTTGGTCGAGACTCGTTCGGCGATTTCCCGCCTCAGGCTGACTGTGCACCGACACGGTTCGCGGGCGACGAGAGATGCGTCGGCGCAGTTGAGACGTCGTCTCATACAGTCAACCTCGTGCAGGTCGGCCGCGAGCTCCGGAAGCAGCTCGGCGGCGCGGGGCGGGAAAAAAATGCCGCGCGGCGCCGCGACGGTCGCCGCCGACGCGAGACCGCCGATCGCGAATGCCGCGGTGGAAAACGCGAGACCTGCGTTTTCGAGTACCGCGCACGTGCCGAGGAGGACACTGGCCTTCTCCGACCTAGTTGCGATCGGCTCAAGCGGGCCCGCGCACGGCGTCGTCGCGAGCAGCCGGCGAGCCGGCGTCGGCGATGATGCCCCCAACGTTTGCCCCGCGAGCTTGAGGACCTTGAGCCTTCACTGTCCGCCCCTACTTGAGGAGCGGCGCCTCGCACAGACGTCGCGTCTGCTATGGCACGCGCGCTGTTACTCGCCCTCGCGGCGAGCGTCGGAACGGCACTCGTGCCCCAGCGCCAACCGTTCGCGCGCACATCTCCCAATGCGGCGTCGACGCTCGACAAGGCCGACGTCGCGACGAGCGACAAGGACTGCGTCGTCGACGACTTCAGCGTCGGCGCCTGCGACGACGACACGCCGCCCTTCAAGAAGATCCTGGCGGCGAACCGGGCGGAGATCGCCGTGCGCATCATGCGCGCGGGCACGGAGCTGAACATGGCGACCGTGGGCATCTACGCGCACGAGGACCGCAAGTCGGCGCACCGGTGGTGCGCGGACGAGACGTACATGCTGCCGGCCGCGGGCACGCCCGTGGGCGCGTACCTCGAGGCGCAGAACATCGTGGACATCGCCGTGCGCGAGGGCGTCGAGGCCATCCACCCGGGCTACGGCTTCCTCAGCGAGTCGTCGGAGCTCGCGCGGCTCTGCGAGGAGAACGGCATCGCCTTCGTCGGCCCGACGGTCAAGAACCTCAACGACTTCAGCGACAAGGTGAGCGCGCGCCAGACGGCCATCGCCGCCGGCGTGCCCGTCATCCCCGGCACGGACGGCGCGCTCGACAACGCGGACCAGGCCTACGAGTTCGCGAAGGAGGCGGGCCTGCCCCTGATGATCAAGGCGACGATGGGCGGCGGCGGCAAGGGCATGCGCATCGCGCGCACGCTCGACGAGGTCAGGAGCCAGTTCGACGCCGCGTCTTCCGAGGCTCTGGCGGGCTTCGGCGACGGCACGTGCTTCATCGAGCGCTACGTCGAGAACCCGCGCCACGTCGAGATCCAGATCATCGGCGACGGCGACGACGTCGTCCACCTCTGGGAGCGCGACTGTTCCGTCCAGCGCCGCCACCAGAAGGTCATCGAGATGGCCCCGGCCTGGAACCTGGACAGCGCGCTCCGGAAGAAGCTCCAGGACGACGCGGTCAAGCTCGGGAAATTGGCGAAATACGAGAACGCGGGCACCGTCGAGTTCCTGGTGGACGTCGCGAACAACGAGCACTTCTTCATCGAGGTGAACCCGCGCATCCAGGTCGAGCACACGGTCACGGAGGAGGTCACGGGCATCGACATCGTCCAGACCCAGTTCAAGATCGCCGCGGGCGCGAAGCTCGGGGAGCTGGGCCTCGTGCAGGAGGACATCAAGGCGCGCGGCGTCGCGATCCAGTGCCGCATCACGACGGAGAACCCGGAGCGCGACTTCGCGCCGGACACGGGCACGCTCTCCGTCTACCGCCACGCCCAGGGCTTTGGGATGCGCATCGACGGCATCGGCTACTCGGGCATGCAGGTCACGCCGTTCTTCGACTCGCTCCTCGTCAAGTACACGACGCGCGCGTCGACCTGGGGCGTCGCCGTGCGGCGCATGCGCCGCGCGCTCCTCGAGATGCGCATCCGCGGCGTGAAGACGAACGTGCCCTTCCTGCTCAACGTGCTCGAGCACCCGGACTTCATCGAGGGCACCGTCGACACGTCGTTCATCGGCGACAACCCGGACCTCGTCAACATCGGCAAGTCGACGTGGCAGGTCGCCAACTACCAGAGCGACCAGGACAAGGTCTACCGCGTCGAGCGCAACCTCCGCTACCTCGCGAAAGTCGCCGTGAACGGCCACCCGGAGACGCTCGGCGCGGACGCGGCGAAGATCGGCGCCGTGCGCGCGACGGCCGTGCCCGTGCCCGCCGTCGAGGCGCCGGCGGTGAAAAACCCCTGGCGCAAGATCCTCCTCGACGACGGGCCCGAGGCCCTGGCCAAGGCCGTCCGCGCGCACCCGAAGCTGCTGATGACGGACACGACGTGGCGCGACGCGCACCAGTCGCTGTTGGCGACGCGCGTGCGCACGGCGGACCTCGCGGCCATCGCGGCGCCGACCCAGGACGCGCTGGGCGACGCCGCCTTTTCGTTGGAGATGTGGGGCGGCGCGACCTTCGACGTCTGCCTCCGGTTCCTCCACGAGTGCCCCTGGCGGCGCCTCGAGACGCTCCGCGCCGCGGCGCCCGACGTGCCCTTCCAGATGCTCCTGCGCGGCGCCAACGCCGTGGGCTACACGTCCTACCCGGACGACGTCGTCTACCAGTTCTGCGAGACGGCGAAGGAGAAGGGCGTCGACGTCTTCCGCGTCTTCGACAGCCTCAACGACGTCGAGAACCTCGAGCTCGGCGTCAAGGCGGCCAAGGCCGCCGGCGGCTTCGTCGAGGCGGCCATCTGCTACACGGGCGACGTCGCCAACGAGGCGCCGGACAACAAGTACTCGCTGTCGTACTACCGCGACCTCGCGAAGCGCTTCGTCGACGACCTCGGCGTCCACGGCCTCGCGATCAAGGACATGGCGGGCCTGCTGACGCCCAAGTCGGCGACCATGCTCGTCTCGGCCCTGCGGGCGGACTTCCCCGACGTGCCCATCCACGTGCACACGCACGACTCCGCGGGGCTGGGCGTCGCGGCGATGGTCGCGGCCGCGGACGCGGGCGCGGATATCGTCGACGGCGCGGTCGACGCCATGAGCGGCCTCACGTCGCAGCCGTCTCTAGGCGCCATCGCCGCGGCGACGGACACGAGCCTCGACAGCGCCGCCTACTCGAAGATCTCGTCCTACTGGGACACGGTCCGCGCGACGCTCTACGCGCCGTTCGAGTCGGGCCAGCTCGCGACGGCGTCCGACGTCAAGGTCCACGAGATCCCCGGCGGCCAGTACACGAACCTGCTCTTCCAGAGCCGGCAGCTCGGCCTCGACGGCCGCTTCGACGACGTCAAGGCCAAGTACGCGATGGCGAACCGCATCCTCGGCGACATCCCCAAGGTCACGCCGTCGTCCAAGGTCGTCGGCGACCTCGCGCAGTTCATGGTCGCCCAGAACTTGATGGAGGCCGACGTGGGCCTCACGGAGAACGTGGCGCGCCTCCCCGACTCCGTCGTGGACTACCTCAAGGGCTCGCTGGGCACGCCGCCGGGCGGCTTCCCCGAGCCGCTCCGGACCGACGCGCTCGCCGCCAAAAACCTCGAGCCGCTCCAGGGCCGGCCCGGCGCGTCGCTGGGCGCCTACGACTTCGAGGAGGCCCGCGAGATGCTCAAGGAGAAGTACGCCGACGCGACGAAGCAGATCACCTTCGAGGACGTGCTCTCGCACGCGCTCTACCCGGCCGTCTTCTCCGACTACATGGACCACCGCCTCGTCTACGGCGACGTGGACCACCTGCCGACGCACGTCTTCCTCCGCCCCATGAAGGTCAACGACGAGGTCTCCTTCGACGACGCCCGGGGCCGCAAGTACTTCATCAAGCTCGTCGCCAAGAGCACGCCCGACGAGTCCGGGTCGCGGAATTTGGCCTTCGAGGTCAACGGCGAGCGGTGGCAGTTCCGCGTCACCGACGAGGGCCACCTCAAGCGCCTCTCCGGCGAGGGGACCTCGGGGGTCTCCCTCGCGCGCGCCAAGGCGACGCGCGCGGCCGACCAGGTCGGCGCGCCCATGCCGGGCGTCGTCGTCGCCGTCAACGTCAAGGAGGGCGACGTCGTCAAGAAGGGCGAGACCCTCTTCGTCCTCAGCGCCATGAAGATGGAGTCGACCATCGTCGCGCCCCAGGACGGCACCGTCGACTCCATCCTCATCAACTCCGGCGACTCCGTCGAGGCGGAGGACCTCCTCGCGACCGTCAACTGAGCGCGCGCGCGCAAGCCTCCCCACCCCCCCCCGCGCCCCGCGAAAATCCTACGCGCGACGATTGGCCGCCAACTCCTCGCCCCGTTACCACGGCACGAGTCTCGACGGCGGGGCGCGGTCGAACAGCGGGGCGCGCCGCGCGGCGCTTACGGCCCGCGGGGTCCCTACGCGACGAGGCTCAGGAGGTACGTCGCCAGCGCCAGCGCCGTCCAAAGCGGCCGCGAGAACGCGGCGGGGTACATGTCGATGGAGTCGAACGTGAGCTTGGCGACCTGGAGGAGCAGATGGGCCGCGGCCGTCGCGCGGAGGCCCCGCTTCAGGACCACGAACGTCGACGCGTCGGAGCGGCCGCGCTCCGCGGCGTCCTTGAGGCAGAACGCCGAGACGGCCGCGAGCACGGAGAAGGCGCCCGCCGCGCGCGAGAAGCGGCGGCCGAGCATGAGGGGCAGCGTCGCGAGCGGGAAGGGCGCCGCGGCCGAAACCGCCGCCCAGAAGGAGAAGAGGAGCGCGAGGGCGGCGTAGGACAACGCGCCGGACTCGGACGCCGCCGAGTCCGGGTCGGAGAGCGCGCCCGACGGCGGGAGGGTCGCCAGGCTGCCGCCGACGCCGCGCAGGACGCGCGACAGCGCGCCGAACGGGCTCAGAGCGACGACGACGTCGCCGTCCAGCACGCTCTTGTGCTGCCAGAGCGAGCTCCAGCCCTTCCGCGCGGGGTTCGCCACGGCGACGGACGCGGCCCAGGCCGAGGTCGCGACGAATGCCGCGGACGCGTGCGCGGCCGTCGCGGCGATCTTCAGCTTCGGCGCGTAGACGACCGTCGTCGCGCCGGTGAAGAGCGGCGACCGCCAGACGCCGGCGGCGAGCCACGCGCTCGCGAACGCGAGGCCGACGTTGAGGCGCCGGTAGGTCGGCGACTTCAGGCGGTCCCAGCCGTTGGCCGCCGCGTCCCGGAGCGCGGCGGTCGCGGCCCAGAGCAGCGGCAGCGGCACGAGGGCCTGCGCTATCGTGAGCCGCGTGTGGATCGGCGGCAGCGCGAGGCGCGGGTGCGTGCCGAGCGCCGCGAAGGCGCAGGCCGCGTAGGCCGCCGCGGACGCGACGCCCGCGATCGGATAGAGCTTGCCGAGCGAGCCCACGGGCGAGGCGCGCGACGGCCAGGCCACGGCCTCGTCGAGCTCCTCGGGCTCCACGAGCGCCTCCGCCGCCGCGCGGAGGGGTTGGCGCCGCAGCGGCGCTTTGAAGGCGGGCAGGTTGAAGGCTTGCACCTGCACGACGAGCAACAGCAGGAGCGCAGAGGTCATGGTGAAGGTGATTGCAGAGGTCGAGATGGAAGCGGGTTGAGCTCTCGGGCTGCAACAGCAGGAGCGCAGAGGTCACGGTTAAGGTTATTGCAGAGGCCGAGACGGGAGAGGCTTGAGATCACGGGCTGTGCGCATGCGGCTCGAGCTCGATTCTCGGTTCAACATCTCGTCAACAAAGACTTCAAGAACCGCAGGCAGCCCGTCCAGCGGCCTCCGCAGCGGCGCCACGGCGCGCGCGCGCGCGCGCGTCGCGCGGCCATGGAGGTCGAGCTCTTCGTGCGCGCCAAGGACCTGGACCACAGCGGCGAGCTCTGGGTCATGGGCGAGGACATCGAGCTCGAGGCGGCGCTCGACGAGAAGCTCGAGGACATCGTCGAGATGATCCTCGACCGGCACCAGCTGCGCTTCCCCGAGGGGACGATGGACAAGCTGCACACGAGCCGCTTCGACATCGTCGTGCCGCCGGACCACAAGGTCGACAAGAAGCAGTACCACTACCAGCTGCGGCGCATCGGCCTCACGGTCAAGGACAACGTCCTCGAGATCCGGCCGACGATGATGGGCGTCTGGATGTGGCACCCCATGGACTTCTACGTGGACCAGTTCAAGGACCTGCTCACGGACCTCATCGGCGACAAGCAGCTCTCCGTCGCCGAGCTCGTTGAGCTCGTCAAGGGCAAGAAGCCGCCCGTGCTGCGGACGTCGACGAAGGTGTTCATGCGCATGTACCCCGAGACGTTCCTCCTCACGACGTCCCTGCGGAGCGACAGGACCAACGTCGAGCTCAACAAGGACATGACCGTGCCCCTCTTTATCTAGCGGGGGAAACTCGGAGTGCAACGAGGGGGAAGTTGCAGACCTTCGAGACCGCCGCGGGGGCAGCCACCGTTGCGGGACAGCATGCGGCAGCCCGATGCGAGGCGCCCGCGCGGCGAGCTCAAGCTCCCGGCGATCGTGGCGACGAAGAACCTCGTGCGGAGCAAGCGGCGGCGGCAGAAGACGGTCAACCGGAGCCCCATGCTCTACCAGTACGTCGTCGGCAAAGGTGCGCCACCCCCCCCCCCAACGCGCGTTTCGACGTCCGCCCTTTTAGGGAACAACTCGCGGCTGATCCTCGCGGCGCTGCGCGCGCGGCCCTGGCTCGCGCCGGCGCCGTCCGACGCGCCCCCGTCGCAGCGGGTCTTCGCGTGGGAGATGTACCGGAACAAGAAGCGTTTCCGCGAGTCGGGCCGCGCGGTCGCGTGCAACCACCTCGAGAACAACAACGTGTTGGTCACGAAGCACGGGCTCTACCGCCTCATGAAGGCCTACTGCGCCGGCGAGGGCCGCGAGCCCATGGGCCGCTTCATGCCCCTCACGTTCCACGTCACCGCCGCGGACGAGTCCGACGGCGAGTACGCGGCCTTCCGGGGCGCCTTCGAGGCGTCGGCGGCGCGCGCGGCCGCGGCGGCGCCCGCGCGGGAGGCCGACGAGCGCAGCGCGTCGGCGCCGGGCCGCGCGCCCGCGCGGCCCGACGACGGCGCCGGCGGCCGCCGCCGGAGCGGCCGGCGGCGCCGGGCCAAGGACGACGAGCCCGGCGCGACGAACCTCTGGATCCTCAAGCCGGCGATGATGTCGAACCGGGGCTTCGGCATCCGCGTCTCCAACGACCTCGACGAGATCGACGGCATCCTCGGCTCCGAGGCGCGGAGCGACGCGCGCTGCGGCGGCTGGGTCGTCCAGCGCTACATCGAGCGGCCCCTGCTGGTCCACGGCCGCAAGTTCGACATCCGCGCCTTCGCGCTCCTCGTCGCGGGCAGGGGCGGCGAGATCCGGGCCTACGTCCACGAGGCCGCGACGTACGTGCGCACGTGCGGCGAGCGCTACTCGACGCGCGCGTCCGACTTCGGGAACCGGGGCATGCACCTCGCCAACGACGGCGTCCAGAAGCACACGGACGCCTACGGCCGCCACGAGAGCGCCAACAAGCTGAGCATGGCCGACTTCCACGCCTACCTCGTCGCCGAGGGCCGCTGCGGCGGCGACTGGCTCGACGGCGCGCTCCGGCCGCGGATCCGCGACCTCGTCGCCCGGACCGTCGACGCCGCCGCGGACAGTATCAACCCGAATAAGCACGCCGCCTGCTTCGAGCTGCTGGGCTTCGACTTCATGCTCGACGACGACCTCAACGTCGTCCTCATCGAGATCAACTCGAACCCGTGCCTCGAGCTCTGCTGCCCGCTCCTCGAGGACGCGCTCCCGAACCTGATCCACGACGTCATGGCCGCGGGGCTCGACGCCGTGCTCCCGCCGCCGAAGCCCGCGCACCGCACGCGCCGCCAGGCCGAGGCGCTCGAGGCCATCGCGGACCGCGGCCACGGCTTCGACCTCGTCTACGGCGACGCGCCGGACGACGCGCCGCGGCGCGCGCGCGCGCCGCCGGCGGCGACGGACCCGGAGGCCGTCGCCGCGCCGGAGGCCGCCGACGCGCCGCGGCGCCGCCGCGCCGAGGCGCGCCGGCCCGAGCCCGCGGACGACTTCGCCGGCGCGTTCTCGCCGCCGGCCGGCGCGGGGCCCAACGTCGACGAGGGCGGCTTCCTCGCCGAGGTCTTCGAGCGCGCCGGTGCGCCGCGCGCGCCCAAGCCCGACGACGACCACGACAGCTGCGACGACTTCCTCTTCGACGACGACGGCGGCGCCGCGCCGCCGCGGCCCGCGCCCGCGCGGCCCGACGGGGCCCAGGCCGGCCAGGGCGGCCGCGGCCGGGACCGCGCGAAGCAGCCCGCGCGCACCATGGAGCCCCTCCACCTGTGACCCTGTGCCACGACCTGTGCTAATCCTGGAAGTTGAAGCTCGCGTTGACCTCGGCTTGAAGCATCGCAGCATGGCCTGATTGGCAGCCCCCCATGCGGCTGCGGCATGTGCTCACCGCCGCGACAGCCTTCATCGCATCATCCTCGGCGCCGGTCTGCACGTCGTGGCGCCAGACCGGGCGCTGCGCCGCCGACGGGCCGCGGGAGCCTAGCGCGGATCGCCCCTGCGACGCCGACGTCGAGTTCGGGCTGAGCGGGTATTGCGAGTGCGCGCCGGGCACGGTCGTCGGCGGCGTCGGCTGCCGCCACGCGGCGCTCACGTGCGACGGCGTCTGCGGCGTGCCGCCGGCGCCGCCGCCGCCGCCGGACGACTACGACCTCGTCTGGCCGCGGCCGCGGTACCTCGCCGCCGGCGCCGGCGAGATCCGCGTGGGCCGCGACTTCGCCGTCGTCGGCGGCGACGCCGCCGCGCGCGCCGCGCTCGCGCGCGGGCCCGCCGCCGCGGCGGCGCGGCGCTGCGAGGCGCGCGCGCGCGGGTCCGACGCCGCGGGCGCGCTCCGGGCCCTCGAGCTGACGTTCAACGCGTCGGAGCCCGCGGAGGGCTACGCGCTCCAGGTCGGGCACCGGCGCGGGCGGCCCTTCGCCGCGGCGGCGGCCTCGACGGCGCTCGGCGCGGCGCACGCGCTCGAGACCTTCGCGCAGCTCGTCGAACTCGCCGCCGACGGCGCCGCGATCATCCCCCGCGGCCGCGTCCACGTCCGCGACTGGCCCGCGAAGCCGCACCGGGGGCTCATGGTCGACGTCGCGCGCCACTTCCTGCCCGTGCCGACGCTGAAGCGGACCGTGCTGGCCATGGCCGCGGCGAAGCTCAACGTGCTCCACCTGCACCTCAGCGACTCCCAGAGCTTCCCCGCCGCCTTCGGCAAATTGGGCCTCGAGGCCGGCGCCTTCTCCGAGGACGAGACCTACGCCGAGGCGGACCTGCGCGACCTCGTCGCCTTCGCGGAAGCCGCGGGAATACGGGTCCTCCCCGAAATCGACGTGCCCGCGCACGTTTTGTCCTGGGCCAAGGCCTACCCGGCGCTCGTCGTCCCCTGCGCCTTCGCCAACGGCGACGGCGCGTCGAAGTCCGACGCGCCCGCGCTCGACCCGACGGACGAGCGGACCTACGCGCTCGTCGCGGCCGTCGTCGACGCGGCCGCCGCCGTCTTCCCCGACGCGGTCTTCCACGTCGGCGCCGACGAGGTGCGCGCCGAGTGCTGGAGCGACCCGCGGCTCGAGGCCTGGGGCGAAGCCCACCTCGGGTCGGGGTCGCCGCGCGCGCTCTTCGGCCACTTCCTCGCGCGCGTGTCGCGCCTCGTCGCGGCGCGGAACCGCCGCGTCATGGTCTGGCAGGACGCCCTCGACTTCTCGAGCGCCGAGGGTCTGGCGGCGCTCGAGGAGGCCGGCGCGACGGTCGAACCGTGGAAGTGCTGGGGCGGCTCCGCGGCGCGCGCCGCGGAGCGCGCGCTCGCGCGAAACCTCACCGTCGTCGACGCGAGCTGCTGGTACCTCGACTGGCCGTCGCCCTGGCGGAACTACGGCGAGAAGGCGCTGCTGCGCGCCGAGGACCCGCGCGTCCTCGGGGGCGAGGCCGCGCTCTGGACCGAGGAGACGGACTTTACGTCCTTCGGGTGCCGCGCGTGGCCGCGCGCGGCCGTCGTCGCGTCGCTGCTCTGGCACGCGCCGGGGTCGTTTCGCGGCCTGAGCAAGTTCGCGGCCTACCTGCGGGCGCGGCTCGGCGTGCGCGCGGCGCTGCCGTCGGACGCGTCGGGCGAGACGGGCGCCGCGGGCCGCGGCCTCTGCCCGCCCCTCGCGCGGACGGTCCGCCGCCCCGCGCGGCCGCCGGCGCGGGCGGGCGTCGCCTTCCTCAACGCCGACGACGGCGCGGCGGCCGGGGACCGGTCCGCGCGGCTGGACGCGTGGCTCCGCGACGAGGTCCGCGACGGCACACTCGCGGCCGCGTTCGCCGAGGCCAACGGCTGGGGCGCGCCGGGCGAGGCCCACGGCTTCACGTTGCTCCAGGAGCGCGCCGCCCGGGCGGGCTTCGCCTTCTCGACCCTCGAGGCCTTCCGCGGCGCGCACCCGTTCGCGCTCGCCGTCGCGTCGGCGGCGCCGATAGCGCGGCGCTTCGTCCTAGGGCCGCCGGCCTTCGAGCGCGGCGTCCTCGCCGTCGACACGGGCGGGCTGACGCTGATCGTCGCGCACCTCGACGCCCACGACGCCGAAAAGCGCGCGGCGGAGGCCGAGACGCTGGCGGCGGAGCTCCGGCGAACGCTCGACGGGCGGCCCGCGGTCCTCGTCGGCGACTTCAACGCGCTCAGCCGCACGGACGCCGACGAGGCGGCGGTGTTGGCCTGGCTCGCCGCCCTCGACGCGTCGCCGGGCCCCCTCGACGCGCGGCGCAAGTTCGCGACGGCCGGCGCCGTCGACTTCCGCGCCGCGGACGCGCTCGAGGCCGCGCTCGTGGACCTCTGCCGCGGGACCTGCGGCCCGACGATCCCGACGGGCCTCGAGCCCGACGCGCCCGAGGTGCCCGCCGGCGCGCGGCAGCTCCCGCTGCGCCTCGACTACGCGCTCGGCAACGCCGCGCTCGCCGCGTTCGCGCCGCGCGTCGACGTCCGCCGGGACGACCTCACGCGCGCCATGTCGGACCACTTCCCCCTCCGCGTGTCCTGGCCCGCGCGGCGGCGCGGCGGCGGCGAGGGTCGTGGGGGCGGGGGGAACCTGAGCTTCTACGAGGTGTGGCGGTAATTTTTAAGAACCCCTAGTATCAGTAGCCTCCCGGCGGACACCAGAAGCCGACGACGTGGCTCGCGGCGTCGAGGGGAAAGGATCGGCCGGGAAGCTTCGCGACGAGGCCGGCGAGGATCCGCCGATGCTTCCCCGCGAATTCCTGCCAGCCGCCGCCGGCGTTGACGGCGTCGACCATGTCGAGGGTAGAAGCGTTACGGTCGCGCCGACGAAGCTTCGGATGGCTCGTATCGATCGCCTCGGCGCCGCCGCGCATGAAACTTTTCGCGAGGCGGCGGCGACCTCGTCTAACAGCATGAAAAAGAACCGTTCTTCCTCGATAATTGGGTTCACTGACGCGGGCCCCGGCATTGATCAACAGCATGGCACATTCTATAGCCGCCGAATCTGAGCAAGCTCTTAATCTATGCAGGGGCGTGTTGCGATTAGCAATAGTCTTCGCGTTTACATCCGCGCCCGCCGACAAAAGTCTCGAAACGATCGACGCGTTTCCAAATTGTATCGCGACATGAAGCGGTGTGTTACCTGCTCCATCTGCCCGATTAATGTCAGCACCGTGTCTGATCAAGAGATCTAAGGATGGTACGTGTCCAGTTTCTCCGACCGCGTGTGGGGGAGCGTATCCAGGTCGGTGTTCAGGGGCAAGAGGCGCATTCACGCAATCAGGGTCCGCCTCGATGTATAAACGAAGCAGGTACGTGTTCTTCGCCAGCAATGCACCCATTAACAGGGGCTCCCCGTTGGGGTTCATTCGGCGCGCAAGACGCTGCGCGCGGCGGCTAGGTCGTGTACAATTCAAAGTGGCAAGAGTGGCGACTCGCCGAAATCGAGACGGACTAATACAAGCCGAGTTATCGCTTCTTAACCTTCTTCTTCTTCTTGGCGGGCGCGGCGCCGCCCAGCCCCCCCAACTTCGTCTTCGCCTTCTTCTTCTTCTTCTTCGGCGTGACGACGGCCGGGTCGAGGCCCTGCTCGAAGTCGCCGTCGAGGAAGACGACGTCGAGCCGGCCGTCGACGCGGACGTTGTCGACGACGGCCTCCTCGTAGTCGTCGGTGCCGAGGTAGGGCGCGAGGACGGCGTCGCCGACGGCGAACTTGGAGGCGACGGCGTTCGCGCGGTACGACCGGAGCAACGATTCCATCGTCGCCTCCAATCGCGCGAAGTGGGGCGCGGAGCGCTTCGCCGGGCTCGCGCCCGGGCCCGACGTGTGGAAGACGACGTCCGCGTAGAGGCCCCGGATCGCGGCCGCGATCTCCGCGCCGTGCGCGAGCGCGCGGGCGGCGACGTCGCCGCACGTCGCGCGCTCGGCCGCGAGCGCCGCGTCCGTCGACGCGACGAAGGCCGCGACGCGCGCCGCGTCGTCGGCGTCGCCGCCGCGCCAGCCGAGCGCGGGCAGGTCCTTGCGCAGGGACCCCCAGAAGCGGTCCGGGTCCGCGGCCGTCTCGCGGCCCGCCAAGGCGTCGTCCTTGCGCGCGAGCGCCAAAGCGCCCGCGCGCGCGCCGAGGCCGTCGAGCCCCCAGATGTGCGTGTCGACGCCGAGCGTCAGGTGCACCGAGGGCTCGTCGTCGACGGCGCACTCGAGCGTGTCCGTCGTGTGGGGCCAGCCCGCGGGGACGTAGAGGCAGTCGCCCGGCGTCAGCACGACGTCCGCGGCGGGCGTCTCCTCCAATTCGCCGAGCTCCAGCACGTCGTCGCCCTTGCCGCGCGCCAGCGGGTCCGCGCCGGGCCGCCGGTCCGGCCGCGGCGGCCGCCAGACGCGCCACCGCTTGTTGCCGTGGCACTGCATGACCAAAACCCGCTGCGTGTCCGTGTGCGGCGGCGCGGACACGCGCGCGCCCGCGCCCGTCGCGTACAGATTCACGCAGGCGGGCAGGCCGAAGGCGTCGACGGCCGCGAGGGACAGCGCCGCGACGCGCGGGCACGTCGCGTCGAGCGAATTGAGCACGACCGTCGCGCGCGCGTCCAGGACGCCCGCGACGTCGCCGCGGGACACGGGCGCGCCCCGGGCGCCCACGCGCGCCATCTGCCAGGCGCCGCCGGCGCCCAGGACGCCGCGGCCCGCCTCGACGACCTCGCCCGCGTCGCACGCGGCGAGGAGGTCGTCGAGCGAGAACCACCCGGCGAACGCGGCGTCGCTCGCCGCCGCGCGGAGCGCGACGCACTCGTCATTATCCCAGGCCGGCGCCAGCGGCGCCTTCAGCGCCTCGAGCGCCTCGCGGACGCGCGACGCCCGGGCGACGTCGCCGCGGCCGTCGCGCGCGCCGCCGGCGAACTCGGCGACGACGTCGTCGGCCCAGGCGCGCGGCGCTGGGGCTCGTGGACGGTGCGACAGCGGCGGGCGCTGGTAGGCATCTGCGAAAATGAGGAGCAGCGCGACGACGAAACGACGTCGAGCACTGCCGTCGGCTCGACGTCTCACGAAGCTCATCGTCTTGCCTCAAACAGCACCATCAACATGAAGCTCAATGAAGGCCGCTCTCCTTTCCAAATAGACGACGCCTCACGCCCATCGAGGCTGCCCGCGGCATTGCCCTTGGCCCGCGGGCCCGCGGTCGCCCTGGTCGAACTCAGACGACCCTCTCGGCGGACGCCCCCGCGAAGCGCGCGGCGCGCCGCCGCCGCCGCGTGGCCAGACCCACCAATGCTGGGCCTTCCGGACCTCATGAATTGGCGCAAGGCCTACGAGAACGTCGTGCGGGGCGGGGAGCAGGCGTCGCCGAGCGGCGTCGAGGCCGCGCCGGAGCGGGCGCCGCGGCCGGCCATCGAGGTGCCGCCATCGGACCCGGGCGCCGGCGCCGCGGACCCGGAGTCGCCGGTCCACGTGCGGGAGAAGCGGCCGCACGCGGTCATCTTCCCCGCGACGCGCGACGCCGTCGAGGTCCGCGCCGTGCCCAAGAGCGCCGCGTCGACGGCGGCCATCGAGGCGGCCCTGCGGCGGTCCGTCGTCTTCGAGGCGCTGACGTCGGAGCAGGCGGCGGCCGTCGCGGCGTCGATGTCCGCGGCCGCCGTCGCGCGGGGCGAGGCCGTCATCGCGCAGGGCGACGCGAGCGACGCGTTCTACGTCGTGGAGACGGGCAACTTCGAGATCGAGATCGACGGCGCCGTCGTCGCGACCGCGGGGCCCGAGAGCTCCTTCGGCGAGCTCGGCCTGATCATGAACCGGCCGCGGGCCGCGACGGTCCGCGCGACGGAGGACAGCGCGTGCTGGGCCATGGACGTCCACCTCTTTCGCCACATGCTCGCGTCGTCGTCGGCGACGCGCCTCGGCGACGCGACGCGCGATTTGGGGGACGTCGACATCCTGCGGGGCCTGCCGGACCGCTTCCTGTACAAGCTCGCGACGCACACGTACATGGAGAGCTACGACGCGGGGGACCGCATCATCGCCAAGGGGTCCATCGGCGACAAGTTCTACATGCTCAAGTCCGGCGCCGTGAAATGCGCGAACATCGGCTCCGACGACGGGCCGCTGCGGGACGTCGCGCTCCAGCGCGGCGCGCATTTCGGCGAACGGGCGTTCACGGACGACCGGCCCCGCGCGTGCGACGTCTTCGCGACGGAGCCCTGCGAGGTGCTGGTGCTCGCCGGCGCGGACTTCAAGGATCTGCTGGGCGGGTCCCTGGGGGACGTGCTGGACCGCAAGCACGCGCTGAACATCGCGTTGTCGATCCCGGGGCTGGAAAAGAGTGCGAAATTCCCAACTTCAAAGGCTCCTCTCTCGGCCGTTTTTCACTCGTTTCGGCTGATTTTTGGACGAGCGATCATCTCTCGGAACGGTCTCGACGCGTGGATGCTTTTTCCGGAACGCGCGTGCGCGGAACACTCACGTTGAAGCGACGTTGAATCTCTCTTTTCCTGCCCAGGTCCATCCCGGGCCTCGACCTCGCGCCGGAGAAGGTCGACGTCATCTACGGCCTCTTCGAAGCGGTCGCCTACGAGGCCGGCGCGGAGATCTTGGAGGATTTGGGCGACCCCGCGGCCTTCCTGCTCATCACGGGGGGGGAAGTGGAAGTGTCGGGCGGCGGCCGGCCGTCGCGAAAGGCGTCGCGCGGCGACCACCTTGGCACGTCGCACCTGCCCTACGTCGACTCGCCCGTGCGGCGCCGGTCGCCGACGAACAAGGCTTGGGAGCAGGCCGTCGACCTCGCGGGTGTCGTCGTGGAGCCGGAGTCGCCGACGCGAACCCTCGACGGCGGAAAGAGGCGCGCGACGGCCGCGACGGCCGTGACGCTGCTCCGCCTCGACCTCGAGGCCGCGCGCGACGCCGTCGTCGGCGCGGAGGCGGTCCCGGAGCCGGAGATGCCCGTCGCGCCCGGCGAGCTCCGCGTCGGCCGGACGCTGGGGACGGGCACGTTCGGGCGCGTGAAGCTCGCCTTCGGCGGCGACGGCCGCCCCTACGCTTTGAAGATGCTGCTGAAGGAGGCCATGATCGCGACGGACCAGACGGCGGCCGTGCTCCACGAGCGCGACGTGCTCCGGAAGACGCGGCACCCCTTCGTGCTCGAGCTCCACGGCGTCTTCCACAGCCGCGACGTCTGCTACTTCCTGCTCGAGTTCGTGCCGGGCGGCGAGCTCTTCTCGCACATCCAGGACCGGGGCATGGCCTTCGAGGAGGCGCGGTTCCTAGCCGCGCACGTCCTCGACGCGCTCGACCACGTCCACGCGCAGGGCGTCGTCTACCGCGACCTCAAGCCGGAGAACATCCTCATCGACGCGCGGGGCTACGCCCGGGTCGTCGACTTCGGCTTCGCCAAGGTGCTGCCGGCGGACGCCATGACCTACACGATCCTCGGCACGCCCGAGTACCTGTCGCCGGAGTGCGTGCTCGGCCAGGGCTACCGGTCCGACGTGGACCTGTGGGCCTTCGGGGTCCTCGTCTACGAGATGCTCCGGGGCCGGTCGCCCTTCTGCCCGCCGAACCCGGACGACACCATGGCCGTCTTCCGCCTCATCACGGCCGCCAAGGTCCGCATCCCGCCGAGCATGGACGCGGGCGCCGCCGCGCTCGTCACGGCCGTGCTCCGCCGCGACCGCCGGAAGCGGCTCGGCGACCAGAACGGCGCGCCCGACATCAAGGCGTCCGCCGTCTTTTCGTTCCTAAACGGCGACTGGGCCGCGCTCCGCGCCAAGGACATCCCGGCGCCGCACGTGCCCGACCTCAACGGCGACGGCGACGCGTCCAAGTTCGACACGTACCCCGAGGACATGGCCATCACGCCCTACGACGGCGACCAGACCCTCTTCCTCGAGTTCGGCGCCGGCATCGTCGACGACCCGGTCGACTGCGCGTGAGCGCACAATGGCGAGCTGTAATTCTTCATCATTGAACCGTGTTGAAGTCAAGTTGTCCCAGGCTCTCGAGAGCGGATCCGATGCGGTGCTGAGTCTGGCCGTCAGCTCCACCGTTCAGCTGCTGCGGACACACGATCAGCTACCGCGGACACGCGATCAGCTGCTGCGCATCGAGCACAATGCGCGCATCTATTCTCGCATTCATCGCAACGGCGTCTGCATTTGTCAGCCGTGGCGCGCACCTGCACGCGCCCTCCGGCGGCGGCCGCAGCGTGCGCCTGCGGGCCCACCCGGCGTTCAAGGCCAAGGTCGATCCTCGGTACACGCTCGAGAAGGCCGTCGACGCCGGCGAGGCCGGCAAAGACGCAAACGTGCCCCAGACCTTCGACGAGGTCAAGTTCGAGATGCAGACGAGCGTCGCGGCCGCCGTCTCGTCCAGCGCCGCGACGCGCTTCGTCGTCGAGTGCCTGCCGCCGGGCCTCAATCCCGAGCTCGAGGGCACCGTGCCCTACTCGCCCTCGCGCGAGTTAGCGGTCCTCTTCGCGCTCTGCGAGACGCTGCCCAACTCGCGCGTCGTCATGCCGTCCTCGGGCGACGCGGCGATGGTCGCGCGCGCGTTCGAGGGCTCGGGCCTCGACGCGACCTACTGCGGCCTCGGCGGCGCGTCCGGCGCGGGCAAGGACCCGGCCGGGGTCGTCGCGCGCGTCTTCGGCGACGCGGAGCACACGCCCGACTTCATCGTCGTCGTGCGGCCAAAAAATTCCGTCGGCGACGCGGTCATCGAAGACGTCATGACCGTCGTCGAGGCGGCCGAGGCCAGCGACGCGTCGGTGATCCTGCTGAACCCCGACCTCGCCGAAAAGGTCGCGCTGGGCATCCGCCAGAAGGACGCCTGGGCGAGGTTCGCCGCGTCCTTCGAGCCCGCCTACCACTTCTCCAACCTCTGCACCTTCGAGCGGCCGTCCATGCGCCAGATGGAGCGCGGCGCGTGCCGCTACGTGCACGGGCGCGGCTGGGAGGTCTTCCACTGCATCCCGCTCCTCGACACGATCCACGGGGACCTGCGGCGCTACGGCTCCTTCGAGGTCGACGCGTGCCGGCCCTGGCCCTTCGTCCTCGCTTCCGCGGACGGCGCCGCGCGCCCGAGCCGCGACGACCTCGCGCAGCGCGTCACCCACGGCGCGAAACTCGCGAAGATCCTCCGCGAGGCGCGGAGCCCGGGGTAAGTCTCGCTCTCTGGATACGGCATCCTGTCTTACATGACCAGCGAGTCTAGCCAGCGCTTCGCGCGCTCGACCATGGTGTAAGGTTCGCGGCGCTCCTTCTTCACGAAGCGGCATGTGGGACGAGCCGCGCACTCGTGGCGGTGCCCGCTGCGCCACGCGGCCTTCTGGCAGTCACGGCTGCAGTAAGCGACCCGGCGGCACCCTTCGCAAACCTGGAACGGAGGCTGCACGATGCTGCCCTCGCCTTCGCAGTAGGCGCATGTCCGCTTCCGCAGCGCGCGGCGGACGCGAGGATGGCTTTCGAGAAGCTCGACCATTTCTTCACGGCCGCCGCGCGACCGCGCCACGTCGAGCGCTGTAAAGGCGTCCTTGGCAACAAATGTCGGGTCGGCGCCGTGGTTGAGGAGAATTTGAGCAACTTTGAGGTGGGCGCCGCTCGTGTAAAAGCATGTTAGCATGAGAGCCGTCCTTTCACGGTATACACCCATCACCCCGTCGACCTTCGCTCCGAGCTCAAGGAAAAGCTCGACGACGCGAGGGAAACCTTGGGAGGCCGCGTTCAACAGCGGGTAAGCGTGGTATTCAGGGACGGAGGAGCACGAGCCCAATGCGTCGACGAGTAAAGCTACACACTGGTCCACAACCATGTATAATTCACCATCGATGGCCTGCGTCTGGTGGCACCGCTCAGAGAATACGACAACATTTTCATGGTCCTCAAAAGCGCTGAGGCACAATTTCGCGATAGTCGTTTCTTCTCGACTGAATCCCAGCGCGCTGCCCGGCGCAGTGGCCTGCTCGCGCGCGCCCATCGTGCGGCCCGGCGCAGTGGCCTGGTCGCGCACACTTAGACCAGACTCTGGCCGAGACTCGGGCTGCTCCGGCGGCAACCTCGGCTTCTTGAGCGTCAATGAGCCGATGATGCAGCGTCTGTCGAGCTCGTCACGTGCAATGATGGCCTTCTCGCCGCGCTTCGCAGCGCTCCTCGCGGCGCTCGTCGCCGTCGGTTCGCCCTTCGGCCTCTCCGCGAAGCGCTGGAACGCGAACGCGCCGCGCCGCGCGCGGCCGAACTCGCCCGCGCTCATGGTCTTCAGCGGCATCGTGGAGGAGATGGGCGATGTGGTCTCTCTCACCCACGACAAGGAGATGACCATGTGGGACGGGTCCGTCGGCCGCGGCACGGAGCTCGTCGTCGACGGCCCCGTCGCGGCGACGGGCGCGTACATCGGCTGCTCCATCGCCGTCAACGGCGTCTGTCTGACCGCGACCGCGCTGGAGATCGACGACCGCGCGCAGCGCTTCTCCCTGGGCCTGTCGCCGGAGACGCTGCGGCGCACGAATCTCGGCGAGCTCGTCGAGGGCGCCAAGGTCAACCTCGAGCGGAGCCTGGCCGCGGACGGGCGCAACAGCGGCCACTACGTCCAGGGCCACGTCGACGGCACGGGGACGGTGCAGAAGACGTGGGTCGAGGGCGACAGCCTCTGGGTCGAGATCGCCGCGCCCCCGGACCTGCTGGCCTGCATCGTGCCCAAGGGCTACATCGCCGTCGACGGCACGTCGCTGACCGTGTGCGACGTCACGGACGAGTCGTTCACGCTCATGCTCATCGAGCACACGCAGAAGTGCATCGTCCTCCCCCTGCGCGACATCGGCGACGCCGTCAACCTCGAGGTCGACGTCATCGCCAAGTACGCGCGCCGCTCCGTCGGCGACTTCGAGGCGCTCTCGAAGCGCGTCGCGGACCTCGAGGCGAAGCTCGACAAGCTCGCGGCCTAGGCGCGCGCCCCCCCCCGCGGCCTACTTTAACCGAGCACCCTGCGCCTATATACACCATGCTGTCTAAATATCCCCCGGCGCGCCCGCGCGCACGACCTCGTACTGCGCGTGGGAGACGTCGTTGAGCGCCATGATGGGCGTCGCCCAGATCTGGATCTCGACGAGGATCGGGTCCGCGAGCGCGCTGGGCCGGAAGAGGCCGTTCACGTGCAGGTTGAAGGGCGTCTTGCCCGCGCCGAGCTTGTTCCGGAGCCGCACGACCCGCAGCGTCTGGGCCTCGTCCGCCGGGTCGCCGCGGATCGCGAGGAAGCAGTGCCAGAAGGCCTCGGCGTCGTCGCAGAGGACGGACGCGCGGAGCGCGTCCGTGACGCGCGCGCAGTGGGGCCAGTCGCCGCCGCCGCCCTCGCACGCCTCGGCGATCTTCGCCGTCATGCGCGGCGCGGCTTTCACGGACATGTCCCGCGCGCACTTGAGCGCGCAGCGCGCGCCCCACGCGCGCGCCGGCGGCGGCTTCACGGCCGCGAGCGGGCTGCCCGGCTCCGCGCCGGTGTCCTCCCCGTAGGTGCGCGCGCCGGGCACGAGCCGCCGGAGGTGCGCCTCGAAGTCGCCGTAGGACGCCGCCGCGAGCGCGCGGAGCAGCTCCGCGAGGCAGCCCCGGTCGAGCGCCGCGCGGTGCGCGGCGCGCGCGCGCGCCGTCGCGAGGCCGTCGAGGGCCGCTCGCAGGTCGGGCCTCTCCAGCGGCGGCTGCGCCGCGGGCGCCTCGACGTTGGCCAGGCCCCGCAGGTCCGAGCCCCAGGGCTCCGCGGCCAGGAACGACGCGCAGCGCCGCGCCATGACCTCGGACGTGCCGTTCATGGCCCAGAGCGCGTCGAGGCGCAGCACCTCGAAGCGGGACCACGTCGTCTCGGCGACGAGCTCGAGCACGTCGCCGAAGCCGAGCGCGGCGGCCTCGGGGCTCCCCGGGCCCCGGTCCGGCGCCGCGCCGCGCCGCGTGAACGCGCGGAGGTCCTCCATGCTCCGCCGCCGCCGCGTGCTCACGGCCACGGGCGCGGCGTCGCCGAAGAGCCGGGCGAGCTGCGCCTCCGGCGGCCCCGGGGCCCCGCCGAGCCGCGCGAGCTGCGCCTCGAGCGCGTCGCGCCGCGCGCGGCACGCCTCCGCCGCGGCCACGCGGTCCTCCCAGACGCTCCCCAGCGCCACGAGGTGCGCCCGCAGGTAGGCCATGCCCGCCGGGTCCGGCGCGTCGACGATCTCCGACGCCGCGTGGGACACGCAGTCGTAGAGCAGCTTCGAGGACCGCGACGTCGCGGCCTCGAACTTCGCCGCCGCAAAGGGCTCGCGCCGCAGGATCGCGTCGCCGAGCTTGAAGTCGCCCTCGTTGGACTTGATGTGGCGCGTGAGCCCGCAGACCGCCACCACGAACACGAAGAGCGCCGCGGAGCACGCGCCTTTGACGGAGTCGCCCGCGCGCGTCTCCGACACCGTCGCGTACAAGGCGAGGAACCAGAGCATGGCGTAGGCCAGGGACTCGACGACGTGGCTCGACGCCCGCGCCACGGGCCGGAACGCCGCCGTGAACCAGAGGTAGGCGGACACGCCGAAGAGGCAGAGCGCGACGCGGAGCGCGGGCGCGTTCGGCACGAAGATGACCTGGGCAGGAAAAGAGTGATTATTCAAGTTCGCTTCAACTTGAGTGTTTCGCGCGCGCGCGTTCCAGAAAGAGCATCCATGCTTCGAGCCGTTCCGAGAGATGATCGCTCGTCCAAAACCCAGCCGAAACGAGTGGAAAACGGCCGAGATAGGAGCCTTTGAAGTTGGGAATTTCGCTCTCTTTTCCTGCCCTGAAGATGACCGTGAGCCCGCCGAAGAGGAGGCGCACGAGCACCGCGACGGCCTCGAACCACCAGAACTGGGGCGTGTAGCGCTGCGTGAGGCTCGCGAGCGCGCCGTCGAGCTTCGCGAGCTCCGACGGCGGCGCGACGCGCCCCGCGGGCCGGTTCCGCCGGAGCGCCGCGAGCGCCGCGAGCGGCGCGCCGACGACGAACGCGGCGAGCATGAGCCCGGCGTAGGCGGCGTAGAGGTGCCAGATCGCGCCGTCGCAGGACACGGCGTAGTCCGACGCGAGCACGTGGCGCCGCCGGCCGCCCGCGACGACAAAGGGCCCGTCGCAGTGGAAGTGGCCGATGATGTGGATGCAGACCATGGGGTGGAAGAGGAGCAGGGCCGTCACGTAGTTCTTCCCGCAGCGGCGCCGCACGGCGCGCCAGTCGCTCTCCGGGTTGAAGAGGAAGACGCCGACGGCCGCCGCCGCGGCGACGACGCCGAAGAGCACGGGCACGAGCGTCGTGAGCGTCACGGACGTGTAGTGGTCGAAGATGGCGCAGGGCGAGAAGAAGAGCGACGTCAGGGGCTCGAGCGTGACGAACTCGAGGCCCGCGACGACCCAGGAGAAGGGCCGCGGGATGTCGACCTTCTCCAACTTGAGGAAGAGCACGGCGACCTGGCCCGCGAGCCAGAGCGTCTTCGCCGTCTCCCGGTACCAGCGCCGGTGCTCCGACGGCAGGTAGAGCTGCTCGACGCGCAGCGCCTTGGCGAGCGTCGCCGCCTGGCCCCCCGCGGCCTCCATCGTGTCCCGGACCCACTGCTGCTGCGCCTGCGCCGCCTCGGCGACGGCCAACGCCGCGGCGTCGACGACGGCCCGGGCCGCGTCGTCGCTCGGCCGCTTCTTGCGGTCCGCGTCGTAGGGTTTGATCCGTTTTGAGCCCCAGGACCGCCACGACGCCGGCAGGAGGGACCGCCAGGTGCCCTCGCGCCGCTCGCGGCGCGCCGCGGCGCCGCGCGCGCGGCGCCGCGCGACGAGCGCGAGCGCGCCGAGGGCCGCAAAGGCCATGAGCAGGCAGAGCGCGACGGACTCGGCGCTCACGGCGTCGCAGGGCAGGCACTTGCCGCGCTGGCCGCCCGAGGCGACGCGGTAGTGGCCCGCGCGGCACGCGTTGCAGAGGACGCCCTTGGAGTCGCCGCGGCAGAGGTCGTCGCCCGCCGCGGCGCCGCCCTTGCAGTTCTTCGACCGCGGGCACGCGTAGGTCGTCGTCGTCGCCGCGGACCCGCGCCAGTGGCCGCGGCGCACGACGAGCGTCGCCACCGTGATGCCCGCGACGTCGCAGACGTGGCCGTCCTCGTCGCAGTACTCGCAGTCGCCGTCGCGCGACATGTAGTGGCCGGCGACGCACGCGTCGCACGACGTCGAGGACGCGCCGATCGTCGTCGACGGCTCCGCGCAGGGGAGGCAGATGAGGGGGCGGCCGTCCGCCTCGTTGGAGTACCTGCCCTGGTCGCAGCCGACGCAGGCCGCGCGGCGGAAGAGGCCGTCGGCGCTCTGCGCGTCGTCCTCGAAGGTCCCCGACGGGCACTCGCCGAGCGTGCAGTTGGCGCCGTGGAACGGCTCGACGCAGGCGCAGGCGCCCGTGCCCGCGAAGCCCTCGTCGCAGGCGCCGCGCGACCGGCCGCTGCCGGCGACGCCGCACGTGTCGACGATGCGCGGCGCGTCGCGGTCCTCGCCGCCGCCCTCCGGGCAGAGGTCGCATGCGTTTCCCCAGAAGCCGCGCTGGCACTCGCCGCACTGGGCCCCCGTGAACCCGCTGAGGCAGCGGCAGACGGCCCCGTAGTAGGGCCGGTGCGTCGCGTCGCAGAACCCGTTCCCCGAGCAGTCGTCGGCCTCCTTCGTGCAGAAGCCGTTGGCGTAGAGGTGGAGGTCGCCGCCCTCGCCGCCGACGACGAGGTCGACGTCGCCGTCGCCGTCGACGTCCGCGAGCGCGGGCGCCGCGTAGTCGAGATTCGCGCCGAGCGCCTCGGCGCCCGCGAAGAACACGTTCGCGTTCACGTACTGGAACGACGGCGGCGCCGCGCCGTCGGAGTAGAAGAACCAGAAGCTGCCGTCCTCCGCGCCGACGACGAGGTCGAGGTCGCCGTCGCCGTCGAGGTCGCCCAGCGCGGGCGCCGCGTAGGCGCCGACGTCGAGCGCGCGGAGCGGGTTCGCCAAGCCCGCGCGCGCCTCGTAGGCCGGCGCGTGCCTGGTGCCCGCGTTCTCCCAGTAGGCGACGGAGCCGTCCGCGGCGCCGACGAAGGCGTCGAGGTCCCCGTCGCCGTCGACGTCGCCGAGCGCCGGCATGCTGTACCCGCCGACGGCGAGGCCGTCGAACGGGTCGTACTCGGCCTTGACCGTCGTGAACGCGGCCCCGGACGCGCCGCCGACGTTCCGGAGCAGGTAGAGGCCGCCCGACGCCGCCCCCAGCACGAGGTCCAGGTCGCCGTCGCCGTCGACGTCGCCGAGCGCCGGCGCGAACGCGAGGGCCTGGCCCGCGCCCATGTAGACGGGCCGCGCCTTGTCCGAGACGGAAAAGTCCGGCGCGGTCGGTGACCCGACGTTCCCCCAGCCCACGGGCGACCCGAGCCGCTCGCCGAGCACGAGGTCCAGGTCGCCGTCGCCGTCCGTGTCCCCGAAGGCCGGCATCGAGAAGCTCCCCGCGGCGACGCCCGCGAAGGGGTCCGCCGTGTCGGCGAGGAGCGTGAAGCGCGCGCGCGCCGCGGAGCTCAGGTCGTCGAAGTAGCGCAGCGCCGCGGCGTAGTCGTGCTCGGCGCCGCCGCGCGCGTGGACCGCGAGGTCCAGGTCGCCGTCGCCGTCGAGGTCCACCCACGTAGGCGAGCTCCAGCCGACCGTGTCGACGCCGTGGACGGGGCTCGCGGCGCCGGTCATCTCCACGAGGTCCGCGGCCGCGCTCGAGCCCTGGTTGTCGAAGAAGCGGAGCGCGCCCGCGCGGTCCCCGAGCGCGAGGTCCAGGTCGCCGTCGCCGTCGACGTCCCCAAAGTCCAGCTCCCCGTAGTAGGAGTCGAGCGCGATGCCGGCGACGGGGCTCGCCGCCCGGAGCTCGTAGGCGGGCCGCCGCGTCTGCCCCACGTGTTCGTAGTAGTAGAGCTCGCCGAGGCCGTCGTCGTCGGCGTCGTGGACGACGACGAGGTCGAGGTCCGCGTCGCCGTCCAGGTCCGCGAGCGCGGGGCGCGAGAAGAAGGCGATCTCGACGCCCGCGAAGGGGTTGTCGTCCGCCTCGGCGAACGCCGGCGACCGCGACGACCCGACGTTCTCCCAGTAGCGGATGCCGAAGACGTAGCCGTCGCCGTCGACGTCGCCGTTGACGAGCAGGTCCAGATCGCCGTCGCCGTCGACGTCGCCGAGCACGAGCGAGCTCCACTCCGACGTCGCGACGTCCGCGAAGGGGTTGTCCGCCGCCGCGGCGAACGCGGGCGTCCCGCGCGGGTCCGGGTCGTTCTCCCAGTAGGCCGCGCCCGCCGCGCCGGCCGCGACGAGGTCGACGTCGCCGTCGCCGTCGAGGTCCGCCAGCGCCGGCGCCGTCCAGTTCGCGGGGACGGCCTCGAAGGGCCCGTGCTGCGTGACCTCGACGAGGAAGTGGTGGTTGCCCGCGCAGAGGCTCGCGTCGCCGAGGCGGCAGAACGGCGTCGCGCTGGTGATCCAGTGGTGCCACCAGGGCGTCTTCGTCGGCGCGCGCGTGGCCGTGGGCGCCGCCGTGAGCGACGGCGCGGCCGTCGGCCGCGACGTCGGCGCGACGGACGGGCCCGCCGTCGTCGGCGGCGCCGTCGGGCCCGCGGTCGGCGCGGCGCTCGGCGACGCCGTCGCCGTCGGGGCCGGCGTGTCGCAGGTGCCCCAGGCGACGACGACCCCCGCGGCGAGGAGGAAGTCCGCCGCCGCGGGCGCGCCGGCGAGCGCGTGGCCGCCGACGGTCGCCGACACCTCGCTCGGGTACGTGTCGTTGCCGAGCGCCGCCGCGTAGCACCCGTCGTCGAGGCACGCGAAATCCACGGCCTCGTCGCCGCTCGCCAGCGCGCCCGTGAAGACCGTGACCGCGCCGCGCGCTATGGCCAGCGCCGCGCCCTGCCAGCCGTCGCCGTAGCTGTCTCGGAGGACGATCTCCGCGCACGGGTGGCTCGGCGCGGCCGTCGGGCGGGCGCTCGCCGACGGCGCGGCCGTGAGCGTCGGCGCGCGCGTCGCGCAGGAGCCCCAGGCGCCGACGCGCCCGGCCTCGACGGCGAAGGACGCGTTCGCCGGCGCGCCGGCCGTCGCGCGGCCGTCGACGACGACGGAGACCTCCGACGCGTAGAGGTCTTCGCCGACGGCGACGTCGTAGCAGCCGTCGGCGAGGCAGAGCTCGACGGTCTCGGAGTAGCCGCTGGCCAGCTGGCCGACGAGCAGCGGCGGCGACAGTGCGTCCTTCGCCCGGGTGACGACGACCGCCGCGCCCTGCCACCCGTCGCCGAAGCTGTCGAGCAGCACGACGTCGAAGCAGGGAGACGCGGCGCGCAGGCCGACGAGGACCAGGAACCGTGCGCGCATTGCGACCGCCGAACTACGGCAGCCCGTTAGCCGGCGTCATCCCACATCGCACCGGCACACAGCTCTGTTGTGTGAGGAATTCACCTATTTGCTTGAAGCGTCGATGAAGTCGCCCCAGAGGTTCACCTCCTCTTCACCTCCTCTTCACCACCGGCTGGACCGCAGGGTCGATATGGACTTGTGCTAAGTGGTCCCTCGAGACGCGCGAGATGGAAGTAACCACTGCGATTTACGCGTTGCGGGGCGCCGATGCGACTGCTAAGGCTCGCGCCACGGAAACTTTATATGACCTCGTGAATTTTCGTTGGGAAGCCCGGGAAAATAAGATCGCGATGCGAGAGGCCGGCGCCATCCCGCTGCTTGTCGCGCTGCTCGAGCACAGCAGTCACGTTACGAAAGAGCATGCCTTGGGGGTGCTGGGCGACCTCGCGTTCGGGCATGCCGAGAGCAAGGTCGCCATCGTGGAGAGCGGCGCCGTCCCGCTGCTCGTCGCGATTCTCGAGTGTGGTTATGGTCCCGCAGAGCATACCTCCTTGTGGTTGCTAGAGATTCTGACACACCACAACGAGGCCTGCTGCTTTGCGATCCGGGACGCCGGTGGGATCCCGCGGCTCGTCGCGCTGGTCAAGCAAAAATTTCCCGAGCGTCGGGCTGTCTCTGTGTTGCGCCACCTCTGTGCCAACAACGCCGCCGACATGGTCGCAATTGCGCTGGATCTTGGCGGCGTCGAGGCGATCGCCGAGCTCGCGCGGCGCGGCGGCGTGACCATCCGCCGGGACATTACCCTCGACAGCGCTGGCTCCAAGCGAAAAGCCGCGCTGGTCGTCGCCGCGCTGCTTCGTGACTGCGTCCCGGGATTCAAGTTGGCCCCGCGCGACATCAAGATGGCGATTGGGTCGTTTTTCTAGGACGACCCTTGGGTACCAAAGTAATCGTGGATCGCCCCCGCGTTACCGCCGACCTGCGGCGCCTTGATGGCGTCGATGGCGTCGTAGTCCGCGGGCGCCAGGATCAGGTCCTCGACGGCCGCGACGTCCGGGACGCGTTTTGTTACTTGTTTTGTCGCGCGCGCGCCGCACGTACGAAAATTACACAAGTCCCGCGGAGGTCCCGTCGGCCGCGACGCCCCCGACGACGTCGGCCGGCTCGCGGATGCCGAAGGTCGCTAGCGCCCCCAGGCACATGAGGGCCGACGTCACGGCGACGAGGAGCGCCGGCGACTCCGCGAGCGTCGAGTTGACGAGCTGCGCCGAGATGGACGCGACGCGGCCGATGGCGCAGAGGAGCCCGACGTGCGTCGCGCGCCGCGCGGCGTCGAAGGACTCCGCCGCGAGCGCGTCCAGCGCCGAGAAGCCCGCCGTCGTCGCCGCGTTGACGAGCAGCGCCGCGGCGACGGCCGCCGTCTTCTCCCAGGCCGCGAGGCCGTCGGCCTCGCCGCCGAGCGACACGGCGAGGAGTACGCAGGCGAGCGTCGCCGTGCCCATGGCCCCGGCCAGCAGCCTCTGGCGCCCCACGGCGTCGATCAGCGCGTAGGCCGCGACGTTGCCGGGCAGATTCGCCGCGGCGTAGTAGAGCGCGACGACGTACGTGTTCCCGATGTGGGCCTCGTCGACGATGACCGTGATCCACGTCGCGAGGCCGTAGTAGCCGAAGTAGAGGCCCCAGAAGGCCACGGCCAGGAAGAGGAAGACGCGCCGGCGCTCGTCGCGCTCGGACGACGCGCGCGCGCCGTCCGCCGGCGGGGCCCGAGCCGCGGCGTCGAGGACCTTCCGCTCGCCCGCGCCGCGCGCGAGGAACACGACCCCCGACGCCGCCGACGGCAGGGCCGAGCAGGCCGCGTAGACGCGCCAGGGCGCGGCCGCGGACGCGGACCAGTCGACGCGCAAATCGTCCGGCAGCAGACCCATCGCGAGCGCGGCCGCGAAGACGCCGCCGACCATCCAGAACGACGCGACGAAGGCGATGCCCCGCCCGCGCTTCGGCCCGTCGCTGACCTCCGCCGCGAGCGCGAAGAGGGGCGGCGTCGCCGCGCCGACGCCCGCGCCGGCCAAGACGCGCCAGAAGCACATGTCCGCGGCCGACCGCGCCGTCGACGCGCCGAGGCCGCCGAGGCACGCTAAAGCCATGGCGCCCACGAGCACGCGCGTCCGCGGCAGCTGGCCGCCCCACCGCGCCCCGTCGGCGAGCACGCCGCCGCCGACGCCGCCGACGAGCATGCCGCAGTAGACGCCGCTCGACACCGCCGCGCGCGACGCCGCCGCGGGGATGCCCGTGAGCAGGTAGCTCGTGCAGAGCACCTCGACGGCCTCGGCCGCATTCGCGAGGCCCAGCGCCGCGAGGCACCCCCAGGGCAGCGGGCCGCCGTCGTCGACGTCCTTCGTCGAGCAGCCCGACCGCCGGCTCGCGCCGTCGAGGAGGCCCTCGCCGGCGTCGTCCGTCGGCGGCGGCGCCCGCCGCACGACCATCTCGCTCTGCCGGAGCGACGGCGCCGTCTTGGTGTGTCGGGTATGGCTAGTTTTGAGCGCGCCCTGACGCGGAGAGGAGCTGATGAGGATGGCTGAAGTCGCCGTCGCCGCGGCCGTCCGCGCGGCCGACGTCGTCGTCGCCGCCGTCGTCGCCGCGCCGGTCCGCGGCCGTCGCGCCTCCGCCGTCGTCGGCCGCGAGTTGCCACAAGCAGCCGATAGATGCAGCCGATTGAGGTAAATTGAAGGCCATCTTGAAGGCAAGACCTCTTGGCCGCTCACGGTCGCGCCGCAAGACTCGCCGCAACGGGGGGGGGGACCCCCGAGGGATTGCCGCGACCATACCAGAAGTTCCTGCGCACGTCACTTAGCGCCCGGCGGGACTCTTCGCCAGGGCGGTGGGAAGCGGAGGTCGGGGGCCAATTCACCATCGCGCGCTCTTCGCGCGATCGTCAATCCGCACGGAGGGGGAATTCGTGGGGCTCGCTTCGCCCGGCCGCGGCGGCGGCGCCGGTGGGGCGCGGCGGCGGCGGCGGGCGGGACTCGCGGCGCGCTCTAGCCGGTCTTGCGGAAGAGCATGCCGTGGGAGACGATGAATTGGAACTTGCGCGCGTGGTCGCGGATGACGAGCGCCTCGGGCGTCTCCCTCTCGAGGTCGAAGCCGTTGGCCTTCATCTTCGCCTCGAGGGCCTCGGGCGAGAGCCACGACGCCTCGGGCGTGTACTCCTCCATCCAAGAGAAGGGGCTGACGATGTAGACGGCCCCGCCCGGGTTCACGAGGCCCGCGCCGAGGCGGTCGAGGAACGCGGCCGGGTCCGGGAGGCGGCAGAGCAGGTTCGCCGCGAGGACCGCGTCGAAGCCGCCGAGATCCGCGGGCAGGTCGCAGGCGTCGGCCCTGCGGAAGCTCAGGGCGCCGCTCGACGCGACGGCCGCCGTCGCGCGCGCGCCGCGGCCGCCGGCCTCGCCCGACCGCTCGTAGCGGAGCTCGCCCGCGGCGTTGAGCTCCGCCGCCGCGTCGACGAAGGACTGCGCGAAGTCAACGCCGACGACGTCGCCGAAGGCGCCGCTCTCGGCCATGGCGAAGGCGCTGCCGCCGACGGCGCAGCCGACGTCGAGCGCGCGCGCGCCGGCCGCGGCGCCCGTCGCCGCGACGAGGACGTCCGCGCAGCGCCGCGGGAAGTCGAGCGCGTCGCGGAGGTCGTAGGACGCCAGGTCCGCCGCGGGCCCGTCGAGGGCGCCCGCGCCGCCGTGGTGCAGGTCCAGGTAGGCCGCGAGCTGCGCGCGCGACTCGTACTTGTGGCCGCCCTCCTCGCTCTCCTTCTCCCTGACGTACGCGGGCGGCACCCAGCCCGCGGCCCAGGGCGGCGGCGCGTCGTGGGACGAGAGCTCCGGGTTGGTCGTGCCGCGGACGACGCGGAAGCCGATCATGTTGTGGAAGTGGGGCCGGAAGTGGAAGCGGCTGAACAGCGACGCCTCGTTGCCCGTGGCCACGAAGGACCCGCCGAGGATGAGCGCGTGCTGGCCGTCGAAGCAGGGCGTCGAGAAGTCCTCGTAGAGGGGCGACGCTTTGAAGCCCGGCAGCGCCGCGAACCAGTCCTCGCAGTACTCCCAGCAGTTGCCCGCGAGCGACGGGAACGGGAGCCGCGCCTGCGCGCCCGCGTCGACGGCCGACGGCGACCCGTAGGCGAGGCTCAGGTTCACGTCCTTGGCCCGGAGCTCCGGCGCGTCGAGCGCGACGGCGGCGTCGCGCGCCTCGTCGACGGCGGCGTCGCGGATCGACGGGCCGGCGCCCTCGGCGTCCGCGTTGACCTCGCGGAGCCGCGCGTACTCGGCCTCGCTGGGCAGCCGCAGGTCGCAGCCGAGCGTCGACGCGAGCCAGGCCGTGTAGGCCGCGGCCTCGTGCTTGTTGATCTCCACGGGGAGGCCCCGGGGCAGCGCCGACGTCTCCGCGAACGGGAGCCGGAGCGCGTAGTCGTGGAGGCCCTGGGGGCCCTTGGAGACCCAGAAGTGGGGCCACTTCGTGTTGCGGAAGGAGCGCCAGGCCCAGCCCTCCTCGGTCCAGTGCGCCGGGTCCGCGTAGCCGCCGGCCCTGACGAACTCGAGGAACTGGCCGTTCGTGACGGGCGTCCGCGCGCACTCGAACGCGGGCACGTCGATGGACCGCGACCCGTACTCGTTGTCCCAGGAGTAGGACCCGTGGGTCCGGGGCTTGCCCAGGGTCACGGTGCCCGCGGCGACGCGCCGGAGCTCGACGGGCGCGTCCTCGCCCTCGGCCCACGCGGACGCGTGGTCCAGGGGCCAGTGGTCCGGGCGGCGCACGCACTCGAGCGGCAGCTCGCGGATCAGGGTCGTCGACGTCTCGAGGTGGATGCGCTCGTGCTCGCAGATCATGCCGAGGGACCAGACGACGGCGTTGCTGTCCGTCGGCGCGCCCGCGGCGAGCGGCGCGTCGAGCGCCGGGTGGTTCCGGACGACGTCGAGGTAGACGTCGCGGCACCGGCGCCGGTAGTCCGTGACCGCGCCCACGGTCGGCCAGGCCGTCTGGGGCGTGTCGAGGTCGTCCCAGGACATCTCGTCGACGCCCGTCTCGAAGAGCACCTCCCACCGGGGCACGACGCCCTCGGTGATCGCGCCGGCGACGCCTACGAAGCACGACGGTGACCGTTTTCCACCCGAAATCTCTCGAACGTCGTCGCGGCCGCGGGACGCCGGGCGGCGCGGAGCTTGTTGATCGCGAGCGCGGCCGGGTGGCCGTAGTAGAAGATCATGGCGTGGCGCAGGCCGTGGGCCGGCGGCCGCACGAAGACGTCCTCGTCCTTGAGGCCGCTGAAGAGCACCTCCGTGAGCGCCCAGCCGTTCTCGAAGTAGGCCTCGAGCGCGGCGCGCAGCGCGGGCCCGCGGAGCCGCAGGTCCGGAGGCTTGAGCGACGACAGCGTCGCCGTCGCCGGCTCGAAGCCGGGGCAGGCCTCGGGCTCGAGGCCCGTCCAGTAGTCCGGGCACTGGCCCGGCGCCAGCGACGTCGGCGCCGCGGCCTTCTCGCTGAAGCGGCGCGCGAGCACCGGCAGCGCGCGGCCGCCTTGCGAGCCCAGCTGGCCGAGGCCCAGGGCGCCGCGGCGCGCGTTGAAGGCGAAGCAACTGGGGCCGCGCGCGAGCATCTGAATCGTCTTCACCGCCATAATCGCAGATTCAGCGGCGCGGTGCCTGCGTTCTTGCAGCACGCGACTTCAGCCGACGAGATCGTGGAAGAGCTCTCACAACAGGCTTGATTGAAGCGATTGGTGAAGTTTTGTGGCAAGGCGCATGCTCGCTCGAACTCGCACTGCGGTCCGCGCTGCGCTGCCCAGGACGCAGGCACGGATGGCCAGCGAGGCGGCGCACTACGACGCCGTCGCGTCGCACTACGGCGAGGCCGACTTTTACAAGCGCGGCCCCTACAGGGATTGGCAGCTCGCCGTCATCCGCGCGGCGCTGCGCCTCGAGCCCGGCGCGCGGCTCGCGGACGTCGGCGGCGGCGACGGGGCCTTCGGGCTCGACTGCGTGCGCGGCGTCGAGGGCTGGGCCCTCGAGGTCGTCGAGCCGTCCGCGGCGATGCGCGGCGCCGCCGGGTCCGCGCCGGACGGCGTGACGTTCGCCGCGCAGGACGCCGTCGCCTGGGCGCGGGACGCGGGCGCGCCGCGCTGCTCGCGCCTCCTGCTCAAGGAGGTCGTGCACCACGTCGACCCCGCGGCGCGCGCCGCGTTCTTCGCGGACGCGCGCGCTAACCGGCTCGCGGCCGGCGGCCGCGCGCTCGTCGTCACGCGGCCCCGGGTCGACATCGACTACCCCTTCTGGGACGCGGCGCGCGACGTCTGGGCCGCGCACCAGCCGTCGGAGGCCGACCTCGCGGACGAGCTGCGCGCCGCGGGCTTCTCCGCCGTCGACGTCTCCGTCGAGGCCTACGCCATGGAGCTGCCGCTGGAACGCTGGCTCGACCTCGTCGCCGCGCGCTTCTGGTCCACCTTCGCCCACTTCGACGACGCCGCGCTCGCCGCGGGCATCGCCGACGTCCGCGCGCGCGCGACGCCGGACGCGGCCGGCGCGATCCGCTTCGAGGAGCGGCTCGTGCTCATCGACGCCCAGGTCTAAGCGTGGGTCCGTTTCTTTTTTCTTGTGTTCACGCTGGTTGCGGCTTTTTGGTTTGGAGCTCCGCAATCTGCGCCGCCCCAACATCGTTGAGTCCGCGGACGGCGCTGAGCCCGCTGCCGCCCGCGGCCATGATGATAGATTGTAAAACGCACCAGAGCCTGCCGAAGGTTCGATAAACGTGCAATTGCGGATCACGGATGCGGAGGAATTACGGGCAGCCCCGGCAGCGCGCCGTCCACATTGCGACTTCATCATGAATTCATGATGCCCCTCGTCAAATAGCAGTTTTCGGCCCGCGCAACCAGCGGCGGCGGGGGCTTCGAACAATGGAAGCACCGCGCCAGGGTAGCTTGACGATCGAGCAGCCGCGCGCCGCGGACGACGGCGACGAGACGGTGTGCTGCGGCGTGTTTGAAAAGGACGACGAGGACGTCGAGTTCGGCTGCGTCGTCGGCCCCGTGCTGCTGTCCGTCCTCATCGTGGTCTGCGGCACCGCCAGCACGATCACGAGCAAGCTCCAGTACGAGGTCCGGTCCGCGGGCTTCGTCCAGTGCAAGTACCACGACGACGACGGCCACGCGGACGACGACCTCACGCGGCGCGAGTGCTTGTTCACCAAGCCCTGGTTCCAGACGCTGGTCATGAAGATCGCCATGTCGACGTGCCTCGGCATCTCCATGGTCGCAAAGTACTTCAACAAGCGCGCCAAGAGCGCGTCGCTCAACGCGGACCCGGAGCTCGGCGCGGGCCTCCTCGGCGGCGAGAAGCGGGCCGCGGGCGAGCCGACGATCAAGTCTATAATCTTCATCGCCATCCCCGCGCTCACGGACCTGCTCCAGACGGTCCTGAGCCAGGCGGGCCTCATCTGGGTGAGCTCGTCGGCGTACCAGATGACGCGCGGCTCCGTGATCATCTTCACCTGCGCGCTCTCCGTGCGCTACATGGGCAAGAAGATGGAGTCCGTCCACTGGGTCTCCGTGCTCATCGTCTGCCTCGCGATCGTCGTCGTCGGCGTGAGCGGCGTCTTCGGCGCGTCCGACTCCGGCGGCGCGTCCGCGGGCGAATACATCCTCGGCCTCATGCTCATCCTCCTGGGCCAGGTCGTCGGCGCCGTGCAGTTCGTCCTCGAGGAGTGGCTCATGAACGAGTGCGACGTCACGCCGACGCTGCTGGTCGGCTGGGAGGGCGTCTGGGGTATGGGCTACTTCCTCATCCTCGCGCCCGTGCTCTCGTACACGCCGACGGTCAACGACGACGGCGAGCTCGCGTCCGCGTCGACGATCTGGCACGAGAACTTCGCCGAGACCTGGGACCAGCTCAAGAACTCGACGGACCTGATTATTCTGACCATCCTGTCGATGATCGCGCTCCTGGTCTACAACCTCGTCGGCAACATGGTCACGAAGCAGCTCTCCGCGATCATGCGCTCCATCCTCGAGTCGTGCCGCACGCTCGGCGTCTGGATCACGTCCATCGTCATCTACTACGGCTGGCACGACTCCAAGAGCGGCGAGGAGTGGACGAACTGGTCCTACCTCGAGTTCGTCGGCTTCGTCCTGCTGGTCTACGGCACGGTCGCGTACAAGGAGATCCTGCCCATCCCGGGCATCTCCAAGCCCGCGCCCCAGGTCGAGCAGTGAGCCGCCCTCGCGCGAATTTTATGTGCTCGTTAGCGATTGTGGGGGGGGCGGAGCGTGACGAGGCGTATAAAAGGGGGCGAGCGCGAAATCGGACTGCCACGGCGTCGTCCGAGTCCGCGTCATCGAGTTAATTTGCACGGCGCGGCGCCCGATTCCCGAGGACACAACTACCTTAAGGGGCCTACTCCTGCTTCTTCGCGAGGCACTTCTCCTCGCTCTTCTTCCACTTGCAGCCCGCCTTTTTGCACTTTTTGGATTTCTTCTGCTTCGCGCAGTCCGCGCACTTCTCCTTCTTCGCGTTCCACGCGCAGCCGGCCTTGGTGCACTTCTTTTCCTTCTTCTGCTTCTTGCAGGAGACTCCCGAGGAGGCCACGCACTGCCCCTTCTTCCACTCGCAGCCGCCCGCCTTCTTGCAGGGCTTCTTCTCCGCGTTGGACCCGCACGTCTTCGAGTGGCACTTGTTCGTCTCGTCCCACTGGCACAGCGTTTGGCCCTTCTTTTCGAACTTGAGGCACTTCTTCTTCTTCTTCTCGAGCTTCTTCTTCTTGCAGGGGTCCTTCTTCCCCGTATCACCGCCGCTAGCCGCGAAGCCGGCGGTCGTCGTCGTCGCGCCGACGACCGCGCCAGAGTCGCCGCCGCCGCCGATAACGACGACGTCCGCGAACGCGTCGGCGGCGTCGAGCGCCTCGGCCTGCGCGACGACCTCCTCCGCGACGGCCTCCGGCGTGAGGTCTCTCGCCAGTATCTCGTCGATCTCGTCCGCGTTCGAGGCCGACGCCGCGTTCACGAAGAACACGACGACGATGACGCCGTCGATCGTTTCGATCGTCACCTCGACGTCGCCCGCATCCACGTCCGCGCCCGCGATGGCCGCGACCGTCGCTGCGAAGACGTCGGAGTTGTCGACCGCATCAGCGAGGGTCATGCCGCCGATGTCGAGCTCGCCCGCGACCCCGGGCGGCGCCGCGGGCGCGGGCGTCGTCGTCGTCGTCGTCGCGGGCGTCGTCGTCGTCGACGCGGGCGTCGTCGTCGTCGGCGCGGGCGTCGTCGTCGTCGGCGCGGGCGTCGGCTTGGCAGTTGGATCGGCGGACGGGTTGGGCGTCGGCGTAGACGAGGCTGGCTCGGTCTCGGGCTGGGGCGTCGGCGCGGCCGTCGGCGCGGTCGTCGAGGCCGTCGGCGCGGCGGTCGGAGCGGCCGTTGGCGCGGCCGTTGGCGCGGCCGTTGGCGCGACCGTCGGCGCGGGCGTCGGCGAGAGGTCGCAATTCGGTGAGCACTGGGGTACGTCGCAGTAGTCCCAGCGATCCGGCCGCCCGTCGGCGCCCTCGGGCGCGTCCGCGTTGAAACACCACGCCCCCCCGCTTTTGCCGTCCGGGTTGCGGCAGAAGTTGTGGTCGCCGAGGCCCGTGTTCGGGTAAGGGTTCCCCCCCCCGCACGCGAAACACATGTCGTTGGAGGAGAAGTCGTCGTCGTCGAACAAGCCGCACCAACTTGGGTTGCCCTGGTACGCGGCGCAACCGTCGCCGTCTTGGTCCGTCGCGCCGTAATCCGTGTCGAGATATGTGTGCGCGTTGGGTTGCTGCGACGTCCAGTACTGGCACGGCCGGCCCGTCCTATCCTCTGCGACGAAGCCCCGGTAGTCGCTGTCGTCAGGATCATGGGCGCAGGGAGTCGTGCAATCCTCGGACGTCGGCGCGAACGTGCTCGTCGGCGCGTCGGTGCCTTCCTTCCGGCCGTAGACCTCGATCCTCCAAGACACGAGTTCGCCGTTCTGGTCGCCGTCGTCGTCGCCGTAGACAAAACCAGGATAGGCCCACTCGGGGAAGCTCGAGCCATCCGTCGTGCCGCGGCGCTTGTCCGCGACGCGGAGCGTGAAGGGGCCCAAGTCCGCGGCTTCACCCCAGTGGCGCAGCGTCAGGTACTTCCAGTCGGAGTAGCGCGTGGATGCGTCGTACATGTCGTCCGTCAGGATGCTCGTCACGCCGTTCCGTTCGAGCTCGATCCAGAGTTCGCCGCGGTGGGGATGTTTGATCGTCACATAAACCACCACAGATTCGATGAGAAACTCCGCCTCGGGGACCTCGATTTCCGACTCGACCCAGTGCTCCGCGCCGTCGAAGTCGAGGATGACCGCTCCCTCGTGCTTCGCCGCCTCGAGCTTCTGCTCCTCCGGCCAGTTCGTCCAAGTCTGCGCCGCCCGCACCGCGGCGAGCGCGTCGACCAACCCGAAGCCGTACTTGTAGCTGTGGCTCACGCCCGCGAGGTTCGTCGTCCACGAATCGTCGCTCGCGAGGTCGACGCGCTGCGACGTCGACGCCAGGATGCCTTGGACGTCGCGCCACCCGAGTTGCGGGTTCGCCTCGAGCACGAGCGCCGCGACGCCCGCCACGAGCGGGCACGCGAACGAGGTGCCGACTCCGATGTCGCCGCAGTCGCCGGTCGCGCCGACGACGACCGGTATGGCGGCGATCATGCCGTGGACGTCGTCGTGGTCGCTGGCGGGCGCGACGACGAAGGTCGCCGGGCCGCCCTCGCTGTACGAGGACTTCCTCAGGTCCCTGCCGACGGCGCCGACCGTAATCGCGAAGCGGTTGTTCATGTACTCGAGCTGCTGGTAGTAGCCCGCGTGCTCGTAGCCGTTGCCCGTCGCCCACACGTAGATCACGCCCTTGCCGCCGCGGCCCTCGGCGGCGCCCCGCTCGAGCGCGCGGAAGGACTGCCACGCGTTGATCTGGACGCCGTCGCAGCTGGCGTAGAGGTAGTCGAACCTGCGGCACGCGTCCTCGTCGGACTCGAAGTACCACTCGCAGTGATCCGCGATCGCCGCGTGGCAGGCGTGCGAGACGGCGCTCGCCGTCCAGTCCTGGCCGGCGCACGACGTCGCGCAGAGGTCCGCCGCGGACTGCGCGGACCACGCGTCGTCGGAGACGAACGGACACGCGTCGTCCGACGAGAGGCGCCGCTCGTCCGGGTTCGCGCCCATGCTTCGACACTCGTCCCAGCCCCACGAGTTCGAGCTCACGTCGACGGGGCGGTCGGCGTCGTAGATGGCCCGCGCGTCCGGGGTCGTGCCCCCCTCCCCCATGATCTTGCAGGAGGTGAGACTCGCGCCGTGGGCCACGCCGACGCCGCAGTGCGAGTTCGCGCTCCCGACGGCCAGCGACGCGCACGCCGTGCCGTGGCCGTCTTCGCCGCCGGGAAGGTAGAGGTCGCAGCTCGCCGGCCACTCTTCGAGCTTCGCGAGGTCGGGGTGCGACGCGTCCACGCCGTCGTCGACGATGTCGACCACGACGCCGGCTCCGGTGATGCCCATCGCCCAGACTCGCGGCGCGTTGATCGCCTCGAGGTGCCAGGCCTGCGCTTCGTAGTAGGCGTCCGCGTACGCGCTCGCTTCGCAGGTCGCGGGATCCGCGTAGTCCTCGAGCTCGCACGTGAACGCGGCGGTCCTCTCGCTCCACGGGAGGCCGTCTCGGAGAAGCGAGGTGCGCGTCGGCACGGCGTCCGCGGACGCGCACACGCCCTCCTTCGCGCAGAAGACGCAGTCGGCCGCGACGGCCCCGCACTGCTCGCACGTGACCGCGGAGAAGCACGGGTCGCAGTCGACGTCGCAGTCGCAGTAGCCTATGTCGACGTCGCACCCGGAGTCGAGCTGGTACGGGCAGTCGCACGCCGTGACGTCGACCGCCCCGGCGGAAGAGGCGACGAGCGCCAGGGCCGCGACGAGGCGCGCGGCGCGAGGCGGCATGAGGCCGTGGCGCGCCTACGGGCGAGGTCGTCGTCAGGAGGGGGGTCGAGTTTCGGGAGGGGGTCGGGGGCGTCTGCCGCGGGACTCGCGACCCGGGACGATCGCTCCGCTCGACTCGAGCGACGATATTTTCGATCGACTATCGCCGCGCCAGGCGCCGGCCGTCTCCCCGTCGACGAGAGCGGCGAAAAGACACGCGGACGCCGCCGCGTGCGGTGCGGGGGGACCTCGGAGCGCCGACAAATTGGCTTGCTCAAGTCGCGTGGCGCACCTCAAAGCCTTGATCTGCGGCAAAAATTTTGAGGCTTTTTAGGCTCACCGAGGCCTACCTCGCCTACGCCTACGCCTGCCCGCCCACCGCCACGTACGTCCGCCTTCATCGACACGGCTGGTGCGACTTACAAGAGCGGCGAGAAGTGCACCGACTGGTCCTACCTCCGTTTCCTAGGCTTTTGGTGGACATCGCGCGTCGAACCGGCGTCGTCGCGGCCCGCGGACTGGGCTCGCGATCGCGCCTAGAGCTACGACCATGATCGCGCCGCGTCCACGCTCACTGCGGTGCTCATGAGCGCGGTTTCCCGCGACGTAACACGAGAGCGGCGTCGCGGACTGGCGCGTGCGGACTGCAATCTACCTTCAACTTGCAGTGATCTTGCACTCCCGGTCGGCAGCTCAGCATGGAGCCTCTCAGTGCGCCGAGAGCGTGATCATATAGCAAGCGTTCGCTCGAGCGCTCGCCGCGCAACTGCTGCGCGCGCGACAGCCGCGCAACTGCTGCGCGCGCGATAGCCGCGCGACGCGAGAGCACGGCCAGCCATGTTCTGCCTCGACTTCGCGCTCTCCTTCGCCTGCTTCGGCTACGCGACGTCCGAGTCGAAGAAGCGCGGCTACGACCTCTGGCGCGCGCCGTACGTCTTTGGCCTCGGCGCGCTGTCCGGGCTCTTCGCGGCGACGGCGCTCTACCCCTTCGACCTCGTGCGCCAGATCGCGCTCGACGACGGCGCGGCGCCGGGGCGGCGCGCCGCGGGCGGCGCGGCGCGCGCCGTGACGACGACGCCCCAGTTCGCGGCGTCGTCGATCCCCTTCTCCTGCCTCTACTTCGGGCTCTACTTCTCCGGCGCGTCCGGCGACGCGCCCGTGCAGGAGCGCGTCGCGCGCGCGTTCGGCGCGTCCGGCGTCGCGCTGGCCGCGGAGCTGCCCTTCGACAAAGCGAAGATCGCCATCGCCGGCGGCGCGCGCAACGCCGCGCTCTTCTCGCTCCTGCGCTGGCCCTTCTGCAGCCTGCTGCTCGTCGCGTTCGAGACCGCGTCGCGACGGTGACGGTGCTAATTTTTAGCCGCGCGGCGCTTACTGCCGCACCTCCTCGTCCGGCGGCGCGGGCGGCCGCGCCTTGGCGTCGCGCATGGCCTTCTTGAGGGCGAGCTTCATGAGGAACTTGTGCAAGTCCTTCTTGCCGCCGGACGCCTCCTCCGGCGCGCGCTCCGGCGCCTCGGCCGCGCCGTCGCTGTCGCCGGCGAACTCGAAGCGGACCGTGAGCGACATGGACGCGGGCGAGCCCGCGTCGCACTCGACGTCGTGGTAGAGCCCCGCCGGGAGCACGAGGCAGTCGCCCTCGCGGAGCACGGCGAGCTCGCCGGCGACGAGCGTCGGCGCGGCCTCCGACAACCCGAAGACGTCCTCGATGGACCCGTCGACGCAGTGGTCCTCCGTGTTGCCCGCCTCCAGGACGCCGCGCGGGAGCCGCGCCGCCGCGACGGCGTCCGCGACGCTCGAGCGGCTCGACAGGAAGAAGCGCTTGCTGCCGACGGCCTGGTAGACGAGCGCGTGGACGTCGTCCTTGTGGAGCGGCGTCCGCGAGCCCCCCGCGCCGGCCCAGAGGCTCGTCGACGTCACCGCGAGCGCGTCCGCGAGGGCCGGCCCGAGGATGGCGTCGACCTCGCCGGGCCGCAGCTCCAGGTCGCCGCGGAGCTGCCAGCCGGGCGCGCCGCGGCTCTCGCCGAGCCACCGGAGGAACTCCAGGGACGGCTTGATCGCCGCGCGGCTCTCGTGGCACTTCTGGCGCGAGAACGCCGTCATGGCGCCGCTCGACGCCGGGTAGAACGTGAGGATCTGGCGCGTCGCCGCCTCGGCGACGGCGCCGGACCAGGTCCGCGCCGACTCCGCCAGGGCGCCGCGGACGACGGCGCCGCGCGTCGGCGCCTCCGCGAGCGACCGCACGAGGTCGACGGCCGGCGCCGCGCCCAACGCCGTCTCGTCGTCTCTGCACTTCGCGCACCAGCCCATGGTGCGGCGTCGGCGCTGCGTCGGTCGCGCGCAGGATGGTCGGCTTCCAGGGGCTGCCGCTTCGCTAACCTCTGCACGTATACCGCACGTATCCAAAGCTGCCCGGCGCACCGGCCGCGGGCAGCTCGGTTCGAAAAGCGGGCAGCGTTTGCTGCCACCGCCGCCCGACAGGTCGCCGCGTCGTCCGGCACCATGTTGATGAGCCGCCAGCCCGGCCGCATGCGCGGCGGGCGCAACAACAAGACCCAGCCCGAGTCCAAGTCGGCGAAGCTGACGCGCCTCGACGAGTACATCAAGAAGCGCGGCGCCGGCGTCGGCGACGCCGCGGGGGCAAAAAGGGTGGGGAGCGGAGGCGTCGCGCGCGCACGGCGCGCGCCAGAGAAAGACGCCGAGCGCGCGCCGTCCGCCCCGGGAGACGGCCGCGCGCGCGCGCCGCGACGCCGCGCGGCCCCCTCTATAGGCGCGACTACACGGGCGCGCTCGCGCTCCTCGAGTTCAACCGCAAGGGCGCGGACGCCCAGGAGCAGCAGGACGCCCTGCTCTGGATCGGCTACTGCGCCTGCCACCTCGGCAACTACCAGCGGGCCTACGACGCGTACAGCGAGATCCTGACGGGCGCGGTGCAGGCGTCGAACTCGCAGCAGCGCAAGCTCGAGGCCGAGGGCAAGGACGGCGAGGCCAAGGCCGCCGGCGGCGAGGCCAAGTCGCAGGCCGAGTTCTTCGAGATCCCCCGCGAGGTCCACCTCTACGCCGCGTGCTGCCTGTTCTACATGCAGATGTACAAGGAGGCCGAGGAGACCGTGGGCCACTACGACGAGGAGGAGACGAGCTCGCTGGACCGCCGGGTGCGCGCGGCGACGACGCCGAGCGCCATCGCCGCGCGCCGGCGCCAGATCCAGCAGGAGGCCAACGCCGAGGGCGGCCGGGGCGCGGGCTCGCTGAGCGACGACGACGTCGCGAAGCGCGTCGACCGCGAGCTCCGCCTCGAGGACACGTCGAAGCGCGCGCCGGAGCGGGCGTTGCGGAACCGGCTGCTCTTCCACATCGCCCACAAGCGCGACGACCAGGACAAGCTCATGATGCGGCACCAGGACCTCACGGACACGAACGAGGACCAGCTGTCGCTCGCGGCGATCCACTACCTCCGGTCCCACTTCCAGGAGGCGACGGACATCTACAAGCGGTTGCTCCTGGAGAACCGCGACGACCTGGCGCTGAACGTCTACGTGGCCATGTGCTACTACAAGCTCGACTACTACGACGTGTCGCTCGAGATCCTCGCCGTCTACCTCCAGGCGCACCCCGACAGCGCGATCGCGGTCAATTTGAAGGCCTGCAACCACTTCCGCCTCTACAACGGCAAGGCCGCCGAGGCGGAGCTCAAGGTCCTCGCGGACCAGGGCCACGCCCTCCAGGCCAACGACCTCATCCGCCACAACCGCGTCGTCTTCTCGCAGGGCGAGGGCGCGCTCCAGGTCCTCCCCGCGCTCGGCGACTTCATCCCCGAGGCGCGCCTGAACCTCGTCATCTACTACCTGCGCCACGACGGCATGCAGGAGGCCCACGAGCTCATCAAGGACGTCGAGCCGTCGACGCCCCAGGAGTACATTTTGAAGGGCGTCGTCAACGCGTCCGTCGGCCAGGCGCTCTGCTCGCGCGAGCACATCAAGATGGCCCAGCAGTTCTTCCAGCTCGTCGGCGCGTCGGCGTCCGAGTGCGACACGATCCCCGGCCGCCAGTGCATGGCGTCCTGCTTCTTCCTCCTCAAGCAGTTCGAGGACGTGAACATCTACCTCAACTCGATCAAGGCCTACATGTACAACGACGACGACTTCAACTGGAACCACGGCATCTCCCTGGCCCAGACGGGCAACTACAAGGCCGCCGAGGAGGCGCTCCTCCTCGTCCAGAACGAGCGCTACAAGACGGAGTACTGCTACATCTCCTGGCTCGCGCGCTGCTACATCATGAACGCGCAGCCCAAGAACGCGTGGGAGCTCTACCTGAAGATGGACACGTCCAACGAGTCCTTCAATTTGCTCCAGCTCATCGCCAACGACTGCTACCGCATGGGCCAGTTCCTCTACGCGGCCAAGGCCTTCGACGTGCTCGAGCGCCTCGACCCGGACCCGGAGTTCTGGGAGGGCAAGCGCGGCGCGTGCGTCGGCGTCTTCCAGCAGGTCGTCGCGGGCAAGGCCGCCAAGGAGGACCTCCGCGACGTGCTCGCCATGGTGCGCAACACGTCCAACCCCCAGGTCGAGTACATGGTCCGCGTCATCTCCAAGTGGGCCGCGAGCTCCGGCATCAAGATCTCCTGAAGGCTCCTCCCCGATGGCGCCTGGGCCATCGACCTCGCCGCGAGGCCGGGGCCCGCGCCGTCGCCGCGACCGTGAGACGCGGGGCGCGGGTAACGGTAAGCCGCGAACCAACTTAGAGCCAACGGAAGCCGCGAAAAACTTACAGCCGGTAGGAGTGGAGCGCGCTGCCCGTCGCGAGGAACCGGTCGAGCTCGGCGTCGCGCGCGTCGTCGCGGGGCCCGCGGTTGCCCAGCGCGAGCCGCGCCTCCGGGTGCGCGACGAGGTGCGCGCGGAGCCGCGCGAGGTGCGCGCGCGTGACGTTGCGCCGCGCCCCCGGCGTCGCGTAGCGCGGCGGTTCGGCCGGCGTCGCGAGCCAGCGGCGGCAGCGGAGCAAGAGCGGCACTACGACGGCCGCCGCGGCCGCGGCCGCGCCGCGGCGCGCGTCGCGCGGCGCCGACGCGATCGCCGCGAGGCCCGCGGCGCGCAGGACCACCGCGGCGACGGCCGTCGCGGCCGCGTGGGGCCACCGCGCGGCCGCCGCGGCGCGCCGCCGCGCGGCCGCGAAGCCGAGCGCCGGCACGAAGAAGCCGCGGCCGTCGTCGTAGACGCAGTCGTCGTCGTCGTCGTCGCCCGCGTCCGGGTCCGGCCTTCCTAGAACCCAGGCGCCGCCGACGGCGAGGAGGAGCGCCAGCAACGCGGCCGCCGCGTCGCCGCCCGCGGGCGAGAGTTTGACGACGACGCCCGACGCGGAGCCGAATTCGACGCGGACGACGTCGTCGGCGACGAGCGCCGCCAGCATCTCCGCGAGCGCCGGGGGCAGCGCGGGGCCCGCGGTGAAGACCGCGGCGGCGGCGGCGGCGGCGAACGCGGCGGCCCGCGGCAGGCACCGCGACGCGACCGCCGCGGCGACCAAAGCGGCCGCGGCGCCGCGCCGCGTGACGCGCCACGTCCGCGGGAGCCGCGCCCCGGCCCGCGAGCCGGCGGCGGCGCCCAGGGCGGCGCCCAGGGCGGCGCGAACGACCCGCGGGGACGCGGCCGCGCCCCCGAAGCGCCAGAGGAGCGCGCCGCCCGCCGCGCGCAGCGCGGCGTCCCGCGCGCCGCGCGCCGCCTCCCCGCGGCCGCCGGGCCAGCCGTCGTCCCAGAGCGCGACGGCGCCGAGCACGCAGCCGGGCTCCGCCGACGTGAAGGTCCAGGCGCCGCCGGGGTGCTCTTCGCAGCGGCCGTCGCTCGCGCAGGCGACGCGCTCGACGCGGCCGCCGGGCCGCCGGAGGACGAGCGACGGCGCCGCGGACCGCGCCACGGACCAGGCGAAGGACGCGTTGGCGCCCGGGGGGGCGAGCGCGCCGCGCGCCGCGGCGCTCGCGCGCGGCGCGAGCCCGAAACGCGCCTCGAGGAGCTCGAGCGCGGCGACGAGGTCCGCGGCGCCGCGCGGCGCCGCGCACGACCACGCCGGCGCCTCGCCGGGGCTGGCGACGTCGGCGTCGACGAAAAGCGGCGCCTCCGGCGGCGGCGGCGCATCAGCGGCCGCGGCGCGTTGCGGCGGCGCGCCCGCCGCGGCGAGCGGCTCTGCGGCGACGTCCGCGCTAACAGTTGTTGTTTCGGCGGCAGCGTCGTCGCCGGCGACGATCAGCGCCGCCGCGACGACCACGAGCGCTCGGAAAATGCGCATTGCTGCAACGCGCATCGTCGCGTCGCGGCGTCGCCGCGCGGCGTGGTGCCTGATCTCGCGGAGTGGAGCTCGAGCTCGCGAGCCTCGAGCCCGGGCGCCCGCCGGCGGCGAGCCGCCAGCCGCCGCCGGCGCCAGCCCGCGCCGCTACCTGCTGCCCATCGGCGCCTGCCGCAGAGATCTCTGCCGACTTCGGTCGGGATGCGGCGGCCACACACAGCCCGCTCCTCAACTCCAGCGCCCGGTCGATGCGACGCATCGACGGCCCGCGCGACCGCGACCCGCCGAACGCGCGGGACGCGCGGCGCGAGACGAGTGGCTTATGCCGACGATGCCACCGCGCTCGGTGGGGCGGCGCTCTCCTGCGCGGGCGCCGGCGTCCCGTCGCCGCCTGTGTCGCCGCCGTCGGCCTTGGCGTTCGATTGCGCGGCGAGCTCCGCGAGCTCGGCCTTTGTCAGGAAGCGGCCGCCCGGCCCGCGCTTTCGCCGGCAGGCGTGCTTGTGGCGGGACTCGTGCATGTAATTCTTGCGGTCCGGCTCCGGTTTCCGGAGTGTCTCCAGCTTGGCGCGGGCCAGCCGCCGTTTCAGGATGCGCTCGAACTGTTTCGGGTTCACCAGCGTCGTCCCCGATTCTTTCGCCGGCTCCGCCGCCGCGCCGGCCGTCGCCGCGTCCGACGACCCGAGCGGCATGACGGAGTCCATGTAGCGGCGGCGCGCGAAGCCCCTGCGACGGTGCCGGCGTCTTGCTTGGCCGCGCTTTCTATTGGCTCATTCACATTCTTTTGCAACTTTGACAGATTTGCAAGTTCAAGGAGGAACACACATTCGAGATTATGCGCGACATTTTGTCGAGCACGACGTCGAGGCTGGGCACCGTCTCCGGCCTAGGCCGCGGACGTCCACCCAAATGGTGGTGATGATGCATAAGCACGTGTGCTGGTAGCGCGCCAGTTGTTCGGGCTGCTGCCAGCGTCGCCATGCGACCGCTGCTCTTGGGCTGCGTCTTGCTCACAGCGGCTGCGCACGAGTTCACCTTCGCGGCGCGCAGGATCACGAACGCGGCGGATAACGCCTTCTTCGTCTTCGCCATCGACGTCGACGGCGACGGCGACGTCGACGCGCTGTCCGCGTCGCGCAGCGACGACACGGTCGCGTGGTACGAGAACGACGGCTCCGAGTCCTTCGCGAAGCGCGACGTCACGGCTGCGGCGGATGACGCCGTCTGCGTCTTCGCCATCGATATCGACGGCGACGGCGACGTCGACGTGCTGTCCGCGTCGCGCAGCGACGACACGGTCGCGTGGCACGAGAACGACGGCTCCGAGTCCTTCACGGAGCGCGTCGTCACGGCGGCGCAGGACGGGCCGTGGGTCGCGCACGTCGTCGACGTCGACGGCGACGGCGCCGTCGACGTGCTCGCGGCGTCGGATGGGGACGACACGGTCGCGTGGCACCAGAACGACGGGTCCGAGTCCTTCACGGAGCGCGTCGTCGACGACGGCGCGGACGGCGCGCGCTTCGTCTACGGCGTCGACGTCGACGGCGACGGCCTCGTCGACGTCGTCGCGGTGCACAAGAGTGCCGGCGCCATCGCGTGGTACGAGCAGCAGACCTCCGCGAGCTCAGTCCGGCCGACGTTCGCGGAGCACGTCGTCACCGCCAACCTCGACACGCCGCTCGACGTCTCCGCGGCAGACCTGAACGGCGACGGCGTCCGGGACCTGGTCGTATCGGCCTACGGCGACGACCTCGTCGCCTGGTACGACGTCGACGCGGGCCTTTCGTACTCGGTCGCGGCGTCGGTCTCGAACCCGCGCGGCGTCTTCGCCGTCGACGTCGACGGCGACGGCGACCTCGACGTCCTCGCGGCGCTGGACGGCGCGAACACGGTGGCCTGGTACGAGAACGACGGGGCGCTGTCCTTTGCGGCGCGCGTCGTCGCGTCCCCGTCGAGCCCCGCGAGCGTCTACGCGCTCGACGTCGACGGCGACGGCGACGCGGACGTCCTGTCGGCGTCCATGGACGACGACGCGGTCGCGTGGTACGAGCAGGTCTACGAGCCGAGCGCCGCGCCGACGCCCATCCCGTCGGCGGCGCCGTCGTCGCGGCCGTCGTCGGCGCCGTCGTCGGCGCCGTCGTCGCGGCCGTCGTCGGCGCCGTCGTCGCCGCCGACCGCGGTGCCGACCGCGCCGCCGACGTCCTACGCGCTCGAGGGGTCGCTCGTCGCCCACTTCTCCTTCGAGTCGGAGAGCTCGAGCGGCGACGCCTACTACGACGACGCCGGGAGCGGCCTCGTGCTCGCGACGGACGCGACCGCGACGACGCGCTACGGCGGCGCGGCGCTCGCTTTCGACGGCGCCGACGACTGCGCGCTCGGGTCCGACGCCATCGCGGACGCCGTCGCCGGCGGAAAGGCGCGCACCGTGTGCCTCTGGGCCGCCGTCGACGACTGGAACGGGGGCTACCTCTTCTCCTACGGCTCGGACGTCGACCTGGGCTTCTTCGGCCTCCGCGCGGCGGACGCGGGCGAGGTCGACGTCGTCTTCTCCGGTCAGACCGCCGAAGTGGCGCTCGCCGGCTCCGACGACGGCGGCTGGCACCACTACTGCCTCGCCTACAAAGCGACGAGCGGGGTCTGCATGCTCTACTACGACGGGGAATTCGCGGCGGAGACGTCCGTCGCGCTCGACACGGGCGGCGCCTACGAGTTCTCGGTCGGCGCGGCGGCGAACTGCGGCCAGGACTTCCTCGCGGGCGCGGTCGACGAGGTCTACATCTACGCGACGGAGCTCTCGGCGGCGCGGATCGAGGCGCTCTACGATGACGGGCTCACGGCCGCGCCGACGGCCGTATTCTTCCAGGAGACGCTCGTCGCGTACTACTCCTTCGACGACGGGACGGCCGCGAACGACGGCGGCGACGGCGACCTCGACGGGACGATCACCGGCGCGACGGCGACGACGGGCCGCGACGGGAGCGGCGCGCTGTCCTTCGACGGGACGGACGACTACGTCGCGTTTCCCTCGGCCGCGACGGCCAAGATCCAGGGGAGCAACCCGCGGACCGTGTGCCTGTGGGCGGTGATCGACGACTTCAGCGGCGACGGGGGCCTCTTCGACTACGGAAGCTACGAGGACTCGGAGAACTTCGCGCTCCGGGTCGACAACACGGACGGCAGCCTCCGAGTCCAGCTCTGGGGCGTCGACGCGGACGTCGCGCTGTCGGGGTCCGACGACGGCGGCTGGCACCACTACTGCCTGACCTACGACGGCTCCGATTGGGTCCTCTACTTCGACGGGTCGCAGGCGGCGACGGGGCCCCAGGCGTTGGACACGGGCGACGACGCGGCCCTGTGC